AGTTCTGACTAGCCCGGCGCTTAAATAGTTGGAATCAACGTTCACCCGGCTAAAAAATTCGATTCTGGCGAAAGTCGCCTTTCCCCCTGGAAAAATCCAAGATCTGACCCTTTGAAAATCTGAAAAAAAAAACTTTTTCAGTTTTCACTTTTTCTCCATACTTTTGAGAGTTTTGAATAACCCGTCGCTAAAATAGTTGAAATCAACGTTCACTCGGCTAAAAAATTCAATTTTGGCGAAAGTCGACTTTCCCCCTGGAAAACCGAAAATCTGACCCTTTGAAAATCTAAAAAAACAACTTTTTCAGTTTTTACTTTTTCCCCATACTTTTGGGAGTTCTGAATAGCCCGTCGCTTAAATAGTTGGAATCAACGTTCAACCGGCTAAAAAATTCGATTTTGGCGAAAATCGACTTTCATCCTGACCCTTGACCCACGTAAAAATGAAAATTTTTTTTTCGTCTTTTCTGTCACCTCCGAGGGTTTTATTGGCATCAGGGGGTCAATAAATGCAGAATCAACGTTCACTATTTTTTATTTCAACACCGCCTGCAAACGGGGAGATGAGGGTGGCTACAAATTTCAACCCCCCGCATACATGCCTTCCCCTCCCCCCCCTCGTAAAATCCCGCGGTCTCGGTAGCATAGAGGAGGACTTCTCAGGACCGAAAAGAACTGATGATTCGAAAGGTCTCCGTAAAAGTACGTTGCAGAACTGATTAGGACTTACCAGGTCCATCTAGGTCTGGAGAGATCTTGAAAGACCTGTGTACGTCCAATCAGAACCAAATCCTCGACTCGGGATCTTTCTTCTGCTATTTATTTTTTCTGTGGATGCAAGAACCAAGGCCCCCATGGGGGTTCCACCCCCTGGGCCCTCTGCCACGTCTCTCTTTTCCCCTCTAAAATTTTTCTGCAAACTTGAAAAAAAATCATTTATTTTATTTCCTAGGCATAAAAAGACAACAAAATTCATTTTTTTCCCCTTCGACTGTCACCTACGGATACAATCCCCTCGTGACTAACGCGAATTGGACATTCGGTGGATCCGAAACCGTGTGTTCCACACCGTTGCTTGATCGGATCCCAAGATTACGTGTACAGTCAAACGAATGACGGAATACGACAGCATGACATTGGCCAGTGTGTTGTGTTGAGAGGGGCATTGAGCAATTCGCCAAGTACGGTGTCGGTGAGACGATGGAGCCGTCCGATTTGGCCAAATATGGCATTATAAATGCACACCAATGTTCCCACTATCGCCCATGTAATAAGTCAATATGCCGCTTCTAGGACGGGAATTAATGTCCCCGTTGTACCCGTTCTTTCAATCTACTTGTCGCCATTTTATTTTCCCTCATTTCCATCCGTCGAAAAGATAAATTCAAGTTTAGCCAGGATTTATTCTCTGATCAAACGCTTGACAAAATGAGAATGATTTTCGTTGGGAATTTCGAGTCGAGGTGAAAAGATCCGCGAATTGATTATTATTTCTCGCAGTCCCATGAGTAATCCACGAATGACGCTTGTCACCATTTAAGGAACTTCATGCAATCACTTTCGTGGTGGCACTCGCATCCAAAGAGACTCGCTTCTCATCTAAAACCGGCCTGCGAATTGTAACGGTATAAATACAACTCGAGATAAACATTAAAGTCAAAGAGATCTACGGAATTTTCATCATTTCAGCGTGGGAAAGATAATTTGATTCAGATAGCCGACATTTTATCACAGTGTCCCCCTCCCCCTGATCGACCGGTTTCATTCACAGATCATGTGAAGAAGAGGGAAGCGAAAAAAATTCATCAGCATCGCTAAATACTGTGTACCTCGCTGAATGATAATGGGGGTATGGGATCGATCGACTCTAGTGATTACCGTCTTTGGATCTACCGATTACCAAGGTGAAGTGTACGACTTTTCAAACGTTGCGTAAAAGTTATGTCCTTCCTACATGAAGAGACTTATGCAATCTGCATATGCATAAGTGACGGTCGGTTCGTGCATTTATGAATTCATCTTCCTTGCTATTTACCATGAGGATCAGTGGGCCAAGGTTGAAATTGTTTTCACACAAGTAGCATTTTTATTTTGATTGTGAATGAGGCGCATTGTTCTAATCTCATTTCATTGGAAGAAGTTTGCGCGAGAATGCACATTTTTTCTTCACACGGGACTCATAATTCTAAAGCATTACGAACAATATCTAGATTAATAGAAAGGATTAGTTATTGTTAACGAATGGATTTGGTTGGAGATGAGGGTCTATTTGGTCTCACCAAATGTTCATTCGTTAATAGTTAACAAATGCACATTTAAAGCCTTGTTTGGCTCGTTTTTCATTTTTCAAGTGAACCATTCGTTAACTATCACCGAATATTCATTTGGTCAGTAGCGAAGTGGTAAAACGTTCAAGTCGACTCATCTCCCAGTTGAGTTTTTGAGAAATATTTCGGGATCTGAAGGAGATAGCGAAATTTTGGTGATGACATTTGTTGTAGCTCTCAATCCGCGCTACAAAAAAGGTTATAATAAAAATGTTAATATCTCCCTTGGATTCCGAGATATTCATTGAAAACCGGTCAATAGTTAAAATTGACTTGTACCGTTTTACCACTTCGCTACTGATATTCAACTTTACCATTCGTTAATACTTAACGAATCTTGTTTGGAATAAATGAATCAGTCTATCAGTGCACTTGTACTGCAGGCGCGTTCAGCCTTTTTCGCTGATTGTAGCTCCTTTTGAAGGCGAGAAATGTAAAAAACTCGTGTGATCCACTTCTGCCTTTTTCATTCCCGAGTTTGCATTATCAATGAGGTCGAGTAAAGAAGGGTGTTCCGCTCCTAATGGACGCACTACAATGCTTTCACGTTTTTTCTAGTGAATGAGAAACCCTTTTTTACGTGAAGTGCAGTCACATTTAGAGTGTCTTCATGATAAATTGCACTCGGAATCCAATCATGTTAATAGCATGACCCCGCTGAATGTTTGAACGGGGGTGGAGGGGGGATCGGCGGGATAAGGAAGGTGGTCATTAGAGGGGCAAATGCACGAGCCCTGAGTCAATAATGATAATGGGCAATTTTAGGGCCTCCGGGGTTGTTAAGTTAATTGAAGGTAGTTTGCACCGTTACTAGACACCTTGGAGATATGCCATTTTGAATTGTGCGTGACTGTTGTACATGCCTCATCTCGGGAATTATTTTTTGATTCGACGGAATAGATGGATTTAATGCAGTAGCTATGAATCGCATTGGGGGAAAGGAATGGTTTAAGGATGTTCTACACGCTTTCTGCCAAAATTCACGTTTTTTTAATTTTTCTGGCAAACTTATGATGGAATTGATGTGAAAAAATATAACGTTCTTGCGTTTTGTCATTATTTAATGACTGACGAAATTTTAAGGTGGTGCGAACATTTTCCTGCGTTTTCTCTAAACTTTTAAAAAGAATCACAAAACTGTAGAAAAAACGCATGAAAATTATCGCACCACTACGCAACTTCGTGAGCCATTAAAGAATGACAAACCACAAAATCGTTATATTTTTTCACGTCACTTCCATCGATAATTTGCCAGAAAAATGAAAACAACGTCAATTTTGGCTAAAAGGGTGTCGAACATCCTTAAATGAATAGGGCAGTTTGGTATAGAGGATTATGAAAAGTTGAAACTGATGGAAAATTCAATTTCGATGAAGCTGCACGGAGAGAAATTTTTGATAAAAATTATCCTACCGTTCTATAAGAGTGTATTATGAGTCATCGTTTCCTCATTTCTATCCCAAAATTTAGTAAAAATTAATATATGATGATCCAATTTTATTCTACTTTACAGAAATTTTATCCTGATAAAAATAAAAATTACTGTACCGATAGGGTAAAATTTACTAACCGTTCTAGAATTTTCGTTATCTTCATAAAAATGATTGGACTGGAAGGGTAAAATTTATTATGCGTCAGGATAAAATTTCTCTAACGTAGAATAAAATTTGATCATCATATATTAATTTTTACTAAATTTCGGGATAGAAATGAGGAAACGATGACTCATGATACACTTGTATAGAACGGTAGGATAATTTTTATCAAAAATTTCTCTCCGTGTGAAACTAGTAGAATAGTTGTCAGCGGAAAATTCAATTCAGAGGATATTCAAGTGTGGGAGACTCAAATAATCACATGCACAAATTTTTTTTAACTGCGAAAGAGTTTTTGTACACCCCTAGATTCGCCTGAGACAAATCTTCTGCCGTCAAAACTCTCGCTATTTTCAGCTTCATTCAATTTAGGCGAATCTAGGGGTGTGCAAATATTTCCAAGTCGTGCGCAAATTCGTTCGTACTTGAAAAAAGTTTGGTCATGTAATTGTTTGACCCTCAAACCCTCGAAAATCCAGTAAATAAATTTAGCGAGGCTTTGACCCATTCTTTATCTTTCAATTGTAGGGATGAATGTCACTTGAACCTAGAGATTTCTGATGTCTCATGTTAATATTTCGCATTTTACTGCATTTCAGGGTGATCGTAGGTGCCCCAGAAGCTCAGACCTCGCAGCCGAAGGTCTACCGAGGTGGATCAGTCTATCGATGCGATGTAGCTCTCGATGACAATTGCGTGCCCATTGAGTTCGATGCACAAGGTAAAGTAAAATTAATTCATACCATTTTTTTTGTTTTTCGGATGATTAGAAATGATTTTTAAAATTCGGGAATCTCCGCGTATTACTTAACCCTTTGGTGCGTTCTTCCTCGCATTTTAATTTCCGACCCACATCATTCTCCATGATTTTCTCCACTACTCAAGCAGCCAGACCATGATCTTACGCGTCGCTAAAACTCGCTGCTCGGTGTGAATGTGGAGCAATCTATTTTTACGTGGTTTACACCCTGCCGTTGAACCTAAGGAGCTACCACACATACCTAAATCTCTCTGGCCACTGTAATAACACGAAAGAAACGCACATTTGAACCACATTCACATCCCATTTCCCCTCCCATGGGAAATCTCGTTACTCCGTCCAAAAACGTTTGAGAATATCTAACGATATTGACCAAACATCAGAATTGACATACATATCGCCACGAAGATCTCCATTATGGTCAATTAGTCTCTACCCATTTGCCTCTTGTTCGCCTCGTTTGAACATATTGTTACCATCCCCGTAATTAGCCAGTGGTATGCACGATCTTAACATGGAGCTTCAGTACGTTGTCCAATTAGAATTGAACAGCGGTATAACGAGTCGTCGACCGAGGGGTAACAGATGCATGTGTATCTGGGGAAATACCATACAATCAATTGATTCAACTCAATTGCATTCTCATCTCACAGATTGTGAACACATTGTTGAAATTTTTTATCGTGTTATGGCTCCGAGGAAGTTTCACGGAATTTCCGCGTTGAAAATTCAAGTAAATTGGGAAATTCTCGTTTTCCTTCTGCTCAAAAATATAGAATTTCACTGAAATTTCATGAACTGTTTCCCCAAATCGAGTTCAATGTTCCTCTTTTAAAAATTACTATGAATTTTTAATTTTTTTCTACAAGACCAAGAACACTTTGGATATTTCCAAGGCATTTGAAAAGAAGTGGCGACCGAGGCTTTCACCAAAATAAATCCTCTGATCTTTTCAAAAATACAACAAAACCACGAAATTGTATTTTCGGAGGTGATGGATCTGGTGGGACAACAATTTACCTCAATGTATTCAAAAATATGTTAAATCATCCTTAACATCTTTTTAAGTACCACAAATTCGGCATTTCTGTGGTATTTGAAGGCATTAGTATTCACCCAACGCACCGGGAAACGGTGTCCTTTACCAGTGCGTCCTTAGAGGTCACTCACACGTCAAGCTTGGCACACCCAATGGTCTTTCATTCCCCCTGGCCACTGCAGTTGTTGATACGAGGAATTGAACCAACAAGAAACTGGCACTTGCCTAATACAGAGAACCGTAAGGAGAGTCCTTTCGTGATGCAGGGACGACACGATGCCTTAACGTTCGGCTATTACCGGATCGTAGAAGTTGCTCTCGAGAGCTGCGATTGTAGATTCACAGACTCCCATTCGCGTTATCTCCCCATCCATGTCCAATACCACGAAGAGAGGAATGAGCATGACTTACCCTTTCATGGTGCATCACTGTGAGATATAACGGTTTCACTTCTTGCTGTGATGAGTGGAAATGTCGTGTTGACACCTGTTTGTTTAGTGACAGATTAATTGAAATTCATCCTGTCAGACCCAGTGAATTTCGAATGATTGTCTGGATGATCAATCATCAACGGGGGAATGCCTGGTAACACGAATGATCCTCGGAGGCCAATTAATTGTCTACTGGACTTGATGAGCCTGAAGATTGCGATGAGAAATGGCAAGAAATATAAAATACTCGTGTGGGTGGGTGAAGTACTGTTGTATCGTTAGACTCACTTGGCAGGTGAAGTAAATTACATTTCTCAGATGAAAACGAACGAGGTGGTACAAAAGTAAAATGCATATACAAGGTAGTGGTATATCATGGGGATTTAATACTTCTCAAAGGCCAGGTGCACATACCCCGAGACATGACCGGTAAACTATTCGTTTTATTCTATTTACCTTGAAGTTTACACCTTGCCCATGGGGCTCAGGGGGTATATATCAGGACCAGACGACATATTAGGTTACTTGGAGGCACTTGAGATGGTGCGTGAGTCAACGCTCGTTGAATCAACTCTACCTCCTCGGAGTGAAGAGGCACCTCTTCGTGTAAGGAGAAGACATGGGGAGTTAACTCGATCGAATTTTTCATCCTATATGCCGTACCGTTAATTCACCTGCAACTAACCATCGATTGATTAGAGGTGAAATTAAACGTGAAGGGGATTCTATGAGTGGCATGTTCGGAATTTTTATTTATCATTCGTTTGTAAACCATGGCCTTTATGCCCTTCTGCAGAAAAATAATTAAGAATAAGAGGTTAGAAGAGTGGGAGAGAAGATTTGTCAGAAGTCTATAAATTAAAATTAAAATGAGCGATACACCTGGAAAAAAGTGGCCCAGCTGTACATTTTTTTTTTAATTTATGAATATATTAACCGCATATATTTATTTCTATGCGGGTACACGAACCGCATTCCGTATTTTTGGCAAATGCGAAGTTCCGTTATTTTATTCCTCAAAACTGAATTCAATGTTAGTCTCTTAGAAATAACTAGTCAATTGCTCCTGAAATTTAAATTTTTTCCCAACAGAATTTTTTAATACTGTTAAGATGTTTGGAAAGACCTGAAGACCGAGGGTTTCACCAAAATAAACCTGCAGGTCTTTTCAGAATTACAACAAGACCACTTTACGGAACCGTTAATTCACCTGCAACTAACAATTTCATCGACTTATCACATGTGCATGTCGAGGTTTTTTATTCACCATTCGTTTACACGACTTGGATTCCGCATTTCGAAGGGAGAGGATACAAAAAAGTACAGTTTAGCACGAGAATTAGCGAGTCGTTAGGGTCGTTCCAGGATGAAACGTCATTGTTTCGAAATAAGTCAAACGTACTTCCGCTACGTTCGTCGACCGTCACGGACGAGGGGTCGCCCTATCGGGATACTGATTAGGCACCCACAGGCACCCACAATTTTAACAGCGAATATAAATTTTCCAACAGTGTGACAATAGTTTTTTGCTTGCACTCACATCGCCCCCATTTTCCCACAGCTTGACCTGAAAATCAAAGAATGACGTTTACATTTTTCACTGTTTCAGGCCACAATTTGTTGCAAATACCAAATGGTCCAGATGCATACGTTCAAATTGACAACAAAACCCTCCAGTGGTTCGGCGCGACAGTCTCAACGTCATCAGTAGACGGTGGTCCAATCCTGGTGAGTAACGAAACACATGTTATTTTTTTTTTTCCAACTGCATTAAAATATGTTTTAACGAGGCAAATACCCACGGTGAAAATGACACTGATGAGTGAAAAATCACAGAGTCAAGCAGTTGAATATCTCGTATTCTCCCGCTGTACAGTGTATTTCGTCGCATCAAGAGTTACAAAACATCGTCGAGCCAGCAAACCTCTCGTCTCCTTCGAACCGAGGGTAGTTGTATAGAGGAGCGTCTCTATTTCGGGAAGCAAAAACAAGCCGTCTCGGCTCTTGATTCTAGACCGCGAAGCTGGCTTCCGTAAAAAATAATTGAAACAATGGACAAATTTATTCCGGTGAAAATGGATGTGGGGGACGTGGAGTAAAATTGATACTTTCCTCTTCTTTTTACATGTTAATGACCCATTCCAGTTGCGATGAAATGGGATAACTTTTTTTTCACGGAAAGTAGAATTGTTTCCTTTTGTGATGGGTCTAGACTGACCTCAATTGATATTGTTCTGAGACGGATTGATTTTTTTTCAATTCTTATCTTTGTCGTTATTTTTTTTTATTATAAATCAGGAATTTTTGAAAATCTGAAAAAATTATTTAAAAAATCAGTTGATGATCAGCGGCATTCAAATTACATTCAAGAAAATGTGAAGTATTTAGTAAAAAAAAATGATGGCAATGGACAAATTAATTCCCCGGAAAATAAATAGATATCGCCGAAAGATGTCTGTAACATCTCAAGATAATTCTCGAAAAAATATCATTTCTGTCAGTTCCACGACAAATGGGACTTCTTGATGGGAATGTCCGCCGATATCAAAGCATCCGGAGAAATTATCAGTGAAATATTTGAATTCTTCCGGTGGCATATTTCACCGTATGTCGAGGGCTGCATTAGAATGCAACTGATGAAAGAGAGTGTAATCTAAGCCCGAAGATCTCGCAGTTGGGCCTTTCCACGACTTTTTTCTCCATTCCCCGTTCCCCTGTGGTATACCTTTCTTGCCCCATCGTGCCACGCCGGTCTCTATGAAGTAGCGCCAGAGCTATCTATCTTGATATGTGCGTTCTCGCGTACTGATCTATCGTACGGTATCCACACATGAGGTTAGTTTTGTTCGAGTGAGGGAGGGGAATAAAGAAGAGAGATAAAATGAGAATGATCATCGTACATACGCCATCCGGCGTATTCACATCACGCACGTTTGCGGTGGGATACGCTCCTCCCTGTCTTGGGCCCTCTCTTATTTCCCCCCCGATGGTAGCACGTGGAAGGCTCAACGGGTTTTGACTCTCAACTCCCATCCCCCCCGTTTTTTATTGAGGTTTTTGCTCATATGTGCAATGATCAATGTCAATAATCCCTTAAGAATTCAATTTGAAATTTGCAATTGGGACATTTCCCACAATTTTTTTGTTATAAAGAAATTGTTGAAACGAATTGGTTATTCATAGGGGAGGGTGGGGTAAAATGGACACTTTAGACTTTTTTTTAATTACTCATAACTCAGAAACAAACTTATCAATGGAGTTCAGTTTCGGCTCACCGCAAAGGGCAAGAATTGCTCTTTGCACTGAAAAAAAAATTATTAAATTTCATCACTATTTCAACCTGTCATTAACATTTTTAAAAAAGTCAAAAGTGTCCATTTTACCCCAACCTCCCCTACCTAATCATGCAGAAGAAGTCACTAAAGACACTTCCGGGTTTTAATTTTCATCTTTTTTTTAATTTTAGGTCGATGGGAAACGTTGGAAAAGAGAATTCAATAATTTTTTTCGTCAATTTTGAGTCTAAATTTTCTGTGAACCGCTTAATGACGAGCAAGAGCGGACATTATTTCGATATCAATAATAATTCAATTAGAATTGTTTAGAAATCCCATAACTTCATAATTTCGTTTATTCAATAAAATGCCACAAATAATCGAATACAATAACAAAAAAAATCAAGAAATATTCCTATCGCGAACAGCAGTAGATAATTGATATAATAGAGTGACAAAGATAATTGATTCGATATAATGGGGGATTTAATGACTAGAAAATATTGGTTGTGTGTAATACGATATGGAATGCTGCTGCACTCTCCACCGCAAATGATCAAGTTGATGTTATACGTGATGCTAGGCATCAACACATTCTAGGTAACTTGAGATCCAGTAGCTGAATGTTGATAATATTTACATATCCGCAATTTCATTCATTGAAATTGAAGATGAAGGAGGAACTGGAAGGGTTCCCACGGTGTGAGGGGACAATGTCAGCGATATTCAGGACAATTCAGTGCTCCATGGGTCGGAGTGTAATCAGTCCTAATGCACGTACATGTTGATTGCCATCCGCAACAGTTCCTGTGAACACATTAAATTAGCGCCTCTTATCGCACACAAGTTCAATGTTAGATGCTATTTTTTGTGACGCTGTGCGATGCCATTCGCATTGTAGAGCCCCGGGGCGACATTCCAGAGGGCTATAGAATTACGGTCATTTGCTCCAGAGCGTAATTGATGTTTTTTTTTCTCTCCACTCAACTGGATGTTGGGAGATTTCTCTTACTCAGGATAAACCGATGATTTTTTACCAACTGATATTTGTCCTGCTGCTATTTAATGGGTATTAAGGCTTCGAGTTGAACTAATGGAACTAGTCAGATGTTTGTGACGTTCGTGTGTAACTGTTATGCGTGATAATTTCACAAAGACCCCACTGTAGCGAATTGTGAACAATGACAGAGTGCAGTGTTGTGCCTTGGGTGCAATTATTCGCCTCACTCGTTCAAACTCCACTGACATATAATGGCAATGCTCGTGCCCCCTCTTGCGTATGATTCTCTGCATAACGACGAATACGTTGATTTCAATTCTCGAATTGGGTTCATTCCATTATTCCGTGAGATGAATTCTAATTCGTTCAGAGTTTGGGACTGTTTCAATTTGATTTGGGGAACGGTCGGTTGGTTTTGCATTCAGAGTATTTCGAGGGGTCGGTGGAATAAGGGTCACGGGGGTCAGAAAATTCACTTGAATTGATGAAATCTAAATTTTTTCCGTATGAAATTAATTTTTAACAAAATTCCAATGTCCAGCAATTTCTTGTGATTTTTGAAAAATTGTTTGTGGAATGGTCAATCGAATGTTCGTAAATTATTCAAATAGTGCAAAGTTTCAATTATTTCAATTCACAACAAATTGAGAATTGAATGCAGATTTTCAAAGTTTAAATGATTAAAAAATGGCTAAAGTATCTGAATATCGTTAACGACCAGCCGAGAGGTCAATGAACGGAAAATTGGCTCTCGCCTCGAGAAAATATGAATTCGATGAAAATAATTCCCTCCCTCAGTGTTCATATCAATTTCCAATAAAATAAACTGCAAAAAAGCCAGAGATAACATTCACCCCGGGGACCTTTGGCGGCCGATCTGAAAGATCCCGCCACAGCAGCCGCGTTAAATTCACAGTGGGTTTTTTACATCATTCTTATTCAAGTGCATCTCAACTCTTCCCTCCTTCCTCCCGAGAAATTCGTAAATATTTTCTATTCCCTAAACGACGTTGTTTGTGCATGGACATCTCCCCCTGAATTTTCCTTTTTTACCGCTAGCCAATTCGTCCATTCTTATCCCCAACCCTTCTATCTTATGCCCTTTTATACACGTATACATTTATTTCTTTATTTTATCCTCTTTGCGCGCCGTGTGTCTCGCGCGATCGCCGCAGCATCTCGTATTTTGGAGATGCAGTCAGCAGATTGCCGACAGATGTTTTACGTTCCGGTCCTCTGTGTCTCTTTCCTCCTCCGCAAATCTCAATTTTTCCCCCTTTTTTGCCCACAAGAGTCCATTCAAAATCACATTATTTCCGTCGTAAATTGCGGCTCCGAAAAATCCCCAAAAAACACTTTGAAAAAATAATTTCAGATAAATCGATTTTATTTCTTCAACACTCGCTGATAAAAAAAATGGCAAATAAAGAGAAAACAAAATCACAACAGCAAACGTGTTTTTCATGCATTGGGCACAATCGTGGAAAGGAAGAAATAAAAATAAATGTAAATGAAAAAAAAAAAATCAGACGTCTCACGAAGAAAGTAGCCACGCTCAACCCAGCGGAACGAAGGAACAATCGACTGGTAAAATATGGGCGAGTCCTGACGATAAAACTGGTGGCGGCTTCCTCGCGGTGGCCTGTCGTTGTTCCCAAAAAAATGAATAAATAAATAAAGAGAAAAAAAATTGAAAAAAAAAGATTGAAAAAAAAAGAATGGGGGGAAAAACGCATCGATTAAAAAGGCACGAAACAGCCACCAGGAGACAATCGTGACCCCAGCGACCCGTGCTGAGAGCAGAGCCTTGTATGAATCCTTTCGCGTTTTAGACTTTTTCACGGCATATTTCTTCCTTTTTCATCTTATTTATAAGTTTCGGTGGAGTCATACTGTTCATGCGGTGTTCATTCCTTGTTTGGTTATCAATCTATTGTCTTCTCCCTCCATATAATCATCGTCCATTATATCCTGAGGGGAAAAAATTACCGACGGAATAACAGCATGCGCTAATAACGCTGTAAAAATTAATGTTGAAATAAGAATTGGACCTGGTGGTATCATAAGCCGGGTCCCCTCTCAACCGATATCGGGAGTAAAAAGCGGCATGAACAATACGCATTCCGGCGTTGTGTTTTGTCCACAGGACAAATTGCGACGCCCGCTAAACGGTCGGTTTTTTTCCCAGCACTCAGCCATCCCAACCCCCTCATTCGACTCCATGAGCCACTTTGTGGGAATCCTTGGGTTTTATAAGACGCCGTGAGACCCCTGAGACTCGCATTTCATCCCGAGAAGGCACAAGAACTGAATAAAAATAAATCGCTTGGGGAGAAAAAAATATTCGAAGCATCTTTGATTTATGACAGGCCAGTGAAAAGCGTAACTCAACGCTCGATATCGTGATTGATAGGACAGGCTACTTTGATCGCGACCAACTGGAGAGAGAGGGTGGGGATGAAATCAAATATCCGGATCGAATCAACGGGCCTAATGTGCCCCCACGGTGTATCGGGTGTATCAACGGTGTGCGCCATTGAGGCGATTATGTTAGCTCCTGTTCGGTGGTATATATACCACCTATAAATAATGCCGTGAGTCAGTATCAACCACCGCACGAGGTGAGTCAACACTCGGCGCTCTCGGCTGTGCACAAATGGTACCTGACACAAATAGACAATATTTTTTTTTTCACTCTTCGTTTTGTTCGATTCGGAAATAGAACGGACGATTTGAAGAAATTTCAAGGGTGGCCAAGTGCCTGTCACGTATTGGAAATTTCCGATCATCGAATTTGGGAGGCAAATTGTGGGAGAACATCTTGAGAAAAATGGCCTTTTAAACGATTCCCTTCTGAGTAGGAAATAATGGGAATTGGGTAAACTTTTGGAAACTTTCGTTTATAAATTTTTCATGAAGAAGTTTGTAATTTAAAAGAAAATTATTAATCTTCCTCAAAAGGTAAACTTCCAGAAGATTTTCAAATTGTTGCAAACGTTTCTGAGTGGAAAATCTAATTTAAGCCCCGACTTGAGAGAATTTTAACAGAAAAAAATTGCCAGAGAAGAAATTTAAGGAGAAATGTCTGGTATTGTCAGCAAATAAAACTGTTGGCCATTCAAATTAATCCTGAATTTGTTTAGTAAAAAAGTTTGCAATTAATAATTTATGAATCTTTTTCAAAAAATAAACACCCACTGTAATCATATATTTGAAATGTTTCCAAACGTTTCCCAATGAAGAATTCCTCGAAAAAAAATCACCGAAGAAGAAATTTCAAAAGAAATGTCTGATATCGTCAGCAAATAAAATTATTCGCCATTGGAATCAATCCCCCCAGAAATCACGCTGTCAATAAAGCCCCTAATAATTTGAATAATTGGCCTGATTCGCTCCGAGCCAATCTATTCAAGAATTGGGTGCGCAGCCGACCCCAGGATGACCCCAATCCGCCAGTCCCAAAAATAACTCCTCCAGAGGTCTTAAAGTCCTCTCTCGAGCCGTCATAAACCAAAAGAGCCGAATTAAAATCACCAAACATAAATGTTTTTGCCCCAGCGATGCTACAAGTGGTCTCCACCAGTACTCAACCCAAATTAAAAAATGCGTAATTGGATATCCAGTAGTACGAGAGAGCTGAAGACATTAGAGGAACACATCGCAATTAGTCGGCATTTTAAATTCTCCACGAGTCACCGCGGGCACAATAAACCTCCGAAATTTTCGCGATAACCCAATTTCCCCCGCATTCCAATTTTTTACACTTCAAAAATAAGATAATGAACTGTTAAAAAAATTGGGTTTACGCTTGTTTTTAATTGACTGACCTCCCCCCCTCCCTCCCTCTATAAAATCATCGGAATTTTATTAAGCCGTTCTTGACCGAGGGTGTAAATATTCCCCTTGCCCCCAGCCCTCATCACAATGAAAAGAGGAAAAGGAAAACAACAACATCTGCACAATCTTATTGCAGCTGGCCCTTCTCCATCCGTGTCAAAGTCGACTCCAATCGATTCCACCTTCTCGTGAGCGCTCAATAAAAGAGGAACGGAACCGTCCATTGCGTTTGGAGTTCTCCTCATCGATATCCATCGTCAGCTGCTATCGATCAACAATCATCCTCCTCCAATTCCCTCTGTTCTCTCTCCATCCGCCTTTGTTCTGGCCATAATCCCAACCCATCCCGATTGTACAGAGTACAAAAACTATTTTCTATCCCCTCTCGCATAGCCAAGTGACCGAGCAAACTCGAGGTTCTAGCGGCATTTATCCTTACGATTGAGCTAAACTGGCACAATGAATAAATTGCTAGTTCTTTTATCTCATTGTTATTTTTTATTTTTCATTTGTGAAAGCCAATCGACATGCTCAGCCAACAAGAGTTATTTTACTTTTCGGCACTTATCTATTTTATGAGGCTTTCAGCCGCACGATTCGACTCCGTCAAGCTCAGGCTTCACGTTTTTTTTATGACATTTAACGCGCGAGAAGGCACGATAGCCCTTTGGATTCTTTATACCACGGCCTTTCAATAAAACTCCACCATAAATTATTGCGATAAGCTACTACATCAGAGCCCCAAAACTCAATTGAGAGGGCACAATGCAGCATTGATAGAGACATTAAGGACTTTATTTTATCATCACTCCTGGAAAAGTATCGGCTTTCTTGCAGGCGTTTTACCATGACTAAAAGTCACGGATACGTCAGTAGCTGGTTGATAGTTACGAGCTATCTTACGCAATGTGATCATCATTCTGCATGAGAGACCATGAATCTCAATCAGGCCATTTATCGCTGGTTATCTAGTGATTCTGTATCGATGGAGATCTGTTGCCTCGGGCGCGACATAAATAGGGATATTTTTATTTATTTATTTATTACGTAAATTGCGTACTCTTCGGCGGTGGGGGATACATAAATTTGCATCAGATCCATTTTATAATTATGATATTAGATCATGTAAGGAAGCAATGCGAGATAATTACACTTAATTTTTTAAATCAATTTATACTCTTTTCCCTCTTTTCCTGTTCGATGACTGATGTCAAGTTATATCTCAATTTGAATTAAAATTTTCGGAACTATCCCTATTTTAGAATGATCAATGATAGTATATAATTTAAGGAATAGATTGTGTTAATGAGATGAGGATGGCTATTAATAAAATCACGGAAATAGCAGCAGTGTAGTCATTAAATTAGTGATTGTTGCCGGTGCCAGTTGATGCGGTAATGGTTAAATATGGACGTGACGGGGAATTACAATGCACCGAGAATTTTTTTGCTTCATTTTCCTCTTCTCGTGTTTCCTTGATGTCATTGGAGATTTGATGTATTTTTTTTTAATTGCAGGCCTGTGCCCCCAGATATGTATTCTTCTCCATTCAGGAGAACCGGAACTACAATGACAGCACGAGGCAGCCAGTGGGCAATAGGAGAGATCCAGTGGGCACGTGCTGGGTCACCAATAACTTGAACACCTCGAAGGAGTTTGCACCATGTCGAACACGTGAGTTGAAGGATTTTTTTGTTTCGACATTTCTGCTGCGTTCTATGTCGTTTGACATGCATGAAGAGAGGGAATATTTTGTTCGTTTTCAAATTTTTGGCTGAAATTTTCCGTGGACTTCTTGACAATCTTCATAATGTGATAATTCTGCTGGAATTTTAAGGAAATTATTGATTGGAAATACAAAATGTTACGGAAAAATCAGTGAAAATTATAAATTTAAGTTCAATTATTCCGTGGAGAGTGATGGAGATCGGGAAAATTCAAGTAAATATATTCTTGAATTTTCAATTGAATGAAAATTTAATGGAATTCGGTTCTGAATGTTTTGATAAAAAATCATGAAAAATCAAGTAAGTTGGGGAATTTCATTGGATTTTCAGTCAAATCTGAAACTTCAAAATTCAATGTCACTCTCCTGAAAATGACTAGTCAACTGTCCCTGAAATTCCGCTCTTTTCCACCAATGTTGACAAAAAAATGAGACTTTGTGACCAGAAAATGGGAAATGTCGCGTGAAGATTGAAAAAGTCACCGATAAAACTCAATCTGTTTCACATTAGCCCCCCATAGACAATTGTCACGTCGACAGTTCTTCCTCCAAGTTTCCTCGATGCAACATGTGGTCCCGAGGCCCTCCCGGAAGCTGGCGCAAACAACCCCCGCGTTTCCTGTCCCAAACCCTCGACGAATAACCGACCCTAATGATTCGACGTTTCAACCACACTCAGTGCATCCACCATTTTTCTCCCTATCATCACCAAAACCACTCTGCACCGTGATAACACCCCATAATCCCCACTCGTAACATTTCAGGCGTGCCTCTCCCCGTTATCTCCCTCCGTTTATCGAAATTATTTTGCGCCGACTCCTCGCTATCCGGAGGAAAGAGCATTTCTGTAGACTGAACCACCTAAAAACATATGAGTCAGCGATGCTTTCAAAATGCACGTCAAATTTTATCACTCGGCCTCGGCAATTTCCCCTCATATTCCCCGGAGCGTGTGCGGATATTTTCTCTCCGTGCACGTGCTACGAGTCACGAAATTTCGCCCTTCCGGTTGAGTGAGGGTCAGTGTCGCCATTAAATCAAAATTAAATACTTGACAGTACGAGTGCAATGAATCACTCATTAATTTCCATCAATTAAAAAATCTCGTCAAGACCTTTTTTCCGCGATAGAATCGACTAAACTAATTTTCATAATTCAATCCCCAAACAAATTTCTACACCCTCCACCCATACATCAATGCTGACATCGCATCGTGACCCCTCATCCCATAAATAACAGTAATTTTCATTACAAAAACATGTGTCGCCTCGTATCAAGAGTACCCCAACCTATGACACTTCTCATTCCTCACAAAAAAAAAACCGAGAAATATATTTTCCCTTCACGGAAGTAAATACCGGGAGATACACGAGAGAAAGCCAGTGAGGTCATCTCTCAACGATTCCCCAGACGCAGCCCAAGATATGTTGCAATTAAACAATTAGCAGAAAGGGACCCTCGGTATTTCAAACTCCTCAACTGTAGCTGCTTTTCTTATTATTTCCGAAGAATTCTCTCTTTTTATCTCTCCATTTTCACTGTAAATATGTCATTCTCTCTCCTTTCTCTCCAATTGTCCCCTTTTTTGGGGAGTGATGAGTGACGTGAAGTGTCCCCCTTTTTAATTCTCTCTCTTCAACTGCGTCTTCTAATCCACATGTCCTTGGGGAAGTCAAACTTCCATAAAATTAAATGCCGGCAATTACCATTCGAAAGAGAGCAGTTGAAAACGCTTTTCGAAGCTTCTTCTGAGAATTTTTTACCATAAAGGCAGTACGTGCCGACACCGGAAGCCGGGAACTTCTCCTAACATTTTTATTTGGCAGTGGCTACTCGCACGCTCCACGGTAAATTTTACCGTGGATTCACGGTAGATTCTCACTCACACCTTGTCTGGCATGTCTGCTATGAACTCTGGCTTTCAACTCTGGCAGTTCAGTTCGAAACCAGAGTTGTGACAACATTGTCCAGTGGGGTCTAGGATTCTCCCCTGGTTCAAAACCATCTTGAGAGGCATCAGCACGCCATTTCTCGAGCCGCTCTTACAGTTGAGCCCAAAAAAACATTCATATCTTGTCTGGCATCTCTGCTACAAACTCTGATCTTCAACTCTGGTTTTCTTTTTCAATTGAAATCAATGTATGTGAAGGCTTGACATTTTTACCCAACAAGGGGAGAAGGTTGCAGAATCTATTCTAGCCACTCTTGTCCCTACGCTTGCATGCATTATCCAAATAAAAAATGAAAGTGTTAACAAATCTGACCATTGTTCCAAGTAAAAATCGAACATCTGACCCTGTGGCCCCCGGTGAAAATTTTTTTTTTTCAGTTTTCACTTTTTCCACATACTTTTGAGAGTTCTGAATAGCCCGTCGCTTAAATAGTTGGAATCAACGTTCACCCGGCTAAAAAATTCGATTTTGGCGAAAATCCACTTGCCCCGGAAAACCCGAAAATCTGACCCTTTGGCTGGGGCCAAAAAAAACGGTTTCTCAGTTTTCACTTTTTCCACATACTTTTGATAGTTTTGAATAGCCCGTCGCTCAAATAGTCGGAATCAACGTTCACCCGGCTAAAAAATTTGATTTTGGCGAAAAATCCAAGATCTGACCCTTTGACCCTTGTGACCCTTGGACCGACTTTCCCCCCGGAAAAATCCAAGATCCGACACTTTGGCCTCCGGTGAAAAATTTTTTTTTTCATTTTTCACTTTTTCCGCATATTTTTGATAGTTCTGAATAGCCCGTCGCTTAAATAGTCGGAATCAACGTTCACCCGGCTAAAAAATTCGATTTTGGCGAAAAATCCAAGATCTGACCCTTTGACCCTTGTGACCCTTGGACCGACTTTCCCCCCGGAAAAATCCAAGATCCGACACTTTGGCCTCCGGTGAAAAATTTTTTTTTTCATTTTTCACTTTTTCCGCATATTTTTGATAGTTCTGAATAGCCCGTCGCTTAAATAGTCGGAATCAACGTTCACCCGGCTAAAAAATTCGATTTTGGCGAAAATCCACTTGCCTCGGGAAACCCGAAAATCTGACCCTTTGGCTGAGGCCAAAAAAAACGGGTTCTCAGTTTTCACTTTTTCCACATACTTTTGATAGTTTTGAATAGCCCGTCGCTTAAACAGTCGGAATCAACGTTCAACCGGCTAAAAAATTCGATTTTGGCGAAAATCGACTTTCATCCTGACCCTTGACCCACGTGAAAATGAAAAAATTTTTTTCCCCTTTTCTGTCACCTCCGAGGGTTTCATTGGCATCAGGGGGTGAATAAATACAGAATCAACGTTCACTATTTTTTATTTAAACACCGCCTGCAAACGGGGAGATGATGGTGGCTAAAATATATTCTGCAACCCTGTCTCCTCGTTGGCTACAAATTTCAACCCTCCGCATACAGGCCTTCCCCTTCACCCGCTCGTAAAATCACGCGTTCTCGGTAGCATCGAGGAGGACTTCTCAGGACCGAAAAGAACTGATGATTCGAAAGGTCTCCGGAAAAGTACGTCGCAGAACTGATTAGGACTTACCAGGTCCATCTAGGTCTGGAGAGATCTTGAAAGACCTGTGTACGTCCAATCAGCACCAAATCCTCGACTCGGGCACTCCTGCACGCGGACCCCATTAGACAAATATGAATATCGTTAAGCAAACATTCACATAAAATGTAAAAAACTATTCATTTCATCTTTTATTAGCGTTTAGTCTATTATTTATTTCATTTTTTATTTGCGTTAATCTATACTGATATTCGTATTCGAGAAAATTGTTTACTAGTCTACTATCTCCATATCACTTATCAATTGATTCGATGTGACTAGTTCATTGTCAGGATTTAATTTGAGAAGTAAAACTTGAGGCTCCACGATCTCCCATATATCCACGGTACGTAGAAACTCCCTTGAATCCACGGGAAAACGTCCCGTATATCCACGGTCAAAGTTACCGTGGAGGGTGTGGTAGACACTGCCTTTTTATTTATATCATTATCGTTAAATGCACCCGAAGAAACACTCCGATTAAAATTTACCCCTCAAATGCACTAATTCTATTAAAAATTGAAATTTGTTTGTGAAATTTTCACGTAAGCAATGTAATTCTTACTGTACTGCTGTTTTTGACTAGATTTTTAAAATAAATTTTGATATAAATTCCTCTTCAGTCACTCATCAGTATCACTAAATCATCAATTAGAATGCATCAAATAATGATTGAAACGATCGATCAATCCCAATTGTTTCATTTTCGGAATTTCTCCCCCTTAAATCAGGCCACATCACTTGATCTCTTAATATCCCTTTACCCTGAAATTTATTACGATTCAACTTTATTATGAATTCTCCGAATTACTTTGTCGCCTCGTAGCATGTGGTATGTGACACGAGTCAAACGGTTGATTCTCCTTATGATGTTTCGGCCCGATATAGTAGTAGTATTTCACATAACAATTTGTTTTCCTCATTTGCCTTTCAAACTCCGACGAAGAGCGTTCGACACTTCTGCATTGTGCGGTATGTGCATGCTCACTTCTTGCGTTGTGACTCTCGCGGATAGTAGCACACCCACGCTTCAACGATCTCCACGGTAGCTACTAGGTACAAACGATAGCATTCATTCATCGAGGCGTTTTAAATGCGTGTTAGTTATGTTGTGCGAGTTTAAAACGTCATTCTACCGGTTCTGAAGGAATGTTTCTTTCTATTAGCTGAGAAAACCATTTGCAGTGCGAATGAACGTCATTTAATGGGAAAAAATGACTCGACTAATGCGAATTTCAAGGGAATAATTACTTTTTTTACGGATGCGTCTCGATTAATTGGACTGTTGAACATTTTTTACGGAAATTTCAGAGAATTTCGTCATTGAGAATCGAAAGTTTTATGCACGGAGAGAAATGTTCAGTAAGAATTACGGAACGCTCTGGAAAAATTCCGTGACAGTTCCGTAAAATTCCTACAACCACATTTCGCTCCGAAACTACGGAAAAGATACGTAATTTTTATTGAATAGTTCTCTCCGTGTGGTAAATCTTAAAAGAATGGTAAATGTTAGTTCAATTATTCCATTAAACGTATTCTGTGAATCTATATCGATTTTATTCGTAATAAAATTTTTGGAATTTCAGGAATGAAGTTCAATGAAGTTCAATGTCACTCTCTTGAAAATTATTAGTCAATTGTCCATAAAATTTTAATCTTTTTCCAACAGTGTAGTTCTTCGATAAAAAATGTGGTTTTATTTTGACTCTCGAGAAGGGTCATATGTGCAAGGGCCAAAAAATTCAAACGTTCTTCTTCCAAAATCAACCGCATTTTGCAAAAAAAAACGAAAACTTTCAATTTCTCATTCAAACTCAGTTCTCCCTGAAAAATATCAGTTAAAAATAAACGAAAATTCCATTTGACTTTTTTGATTGATATAATTGCGTGTCTGCCGGGTCATCCGGTGTCGTGAATCGTCCAGTGGGACGTCCACGCCGAGGGTCACATACGTTTAATGCATCGAAGCGAAAGAAAAAAGAGGAGTGCAGAAGAAAATCCAGAAGCAAATACCGGATATATACTACTGGACACGAATGTTATAACTCACACGTGTACACCGTCATAAAGGAACACGATACTGGCCCTGCATGGGGCCATCACGCGGACGCATATTAACGTCGGTTTATTAATTCCGTTGTGCATCGGACAGTCAGTAATTACGATTTTGACGGGAGTTTATTAGCATTTGTGACACATCAATTGATTTTCATTAGCATTGAATGGAGGTGATTAATTTAACAGGATTTTTTAATGATTTTTTCAGGACACTTTGGTTACCATCGGCAGGGGTCATGTCAGGCTGGCCTGGGCGCAACGGTCTCCAAGGTGAGTTGAAATTTTTTCACTGCAAAAAATAATAATGAAATCCAAGGGAAAAGAGTGAGTTGATGGAGCACAGGAATTATTTTTTTCTGCTCCTCACTCCAGTGCTCGAAAAAATAAATCGTTCTCTTGAAAAAACAAGAGATAACACAGAAAAAGTAAATAAATGCGGGGAAAAAGCCTCGTAAATAACCCACACGCAGCATGCGGGGTGTTCCATCGGCTTTGAACTCTGTTTTCACATGAAGTTTGTCTTCGTGTCGCTGTGCACGCGGTGGAGAGAGTTAAGAGTTTGTCGGAACAACACATACGAAAATGGGGGTTGATTCTCACCGTATATGGTCAGGAATGCGTATTCCCACTCTGCCTACGCTTTGAATTTATAAGCATCGGTTTTTTTCATTCAATTCAAAATAAGAGAGAGTTCTAAATTCTGCACATTCGGTCCTGCAAAAATTCACAATGATTTTTGTTAATAATATGGAGTCCTGCGGCTGCTTCAAAAATTGGGATTTCAGTCTAGGAAAGAGGATAATGCGAAATTTAGCGGAATGAGTTTGTCCTTAAAATGTATAATTCAGAATTGTTCTTTGGAGTATGTTTAATGCATAACTCGGAATGAAATACAAGCTAGAGTAACCAATTCAATGTTAATCCGTACTTATGCCCTGTTTCCGAATACTGAAAGAATAATTACCATCGCAACCTCGAGAGAAGATGACTTTAGGCAAATTCGATTTAACTTGGTCCAAAATCAGGACAAATGCCATTGTACTTATTTTTTTATGATTCATTCGTCTTGCCTTCAGGGAGAATTACCATGAAGAGAAAAATTGTTAAATATCGTTGCTATCGACGTTGTTAATTGATTCATCGACGTTTACAAAAACTCATGTTATCATCCAATTTCTTGAATTCTGCATCTCCCTCCTCTCCCGCGGTGCAATGTGTACGGCCTTATGCTCTTACCACACGAAGGCATGATATATAAATAATAAAATAAAGAACAAAAAAACTCCAAAATTCTCTGGTTAAGGACATTTTTGTCACAAGCTGTAAATAACTAATGGGTTGATTATTAGAATAAATGAAAGCCTTGATGAAGAACACTTTGTGTGCTCGAAACGCTGGCAATTGGCGGAAGAATTGTTTTTCATATGTTTTCTTTGGATTTTTCCCTGTATTTATTTTCATTTGTTGCTGCTACGGCCGTTAATGGCTGAGGAAGTCGGAGTTTTTTGAAAATAAAAAAACTCAGAATGAAATACATCAGGCTAGAATAACCAATTCAATGTTAATCCGTACTTATGCCCTGTTTCCGAATACTGAAAGAATAATTACCATCCCAATGCCGAGACAAGATGATTTTAGGCAAATTCGATTCAACTCAACTGAAAATCGAGACAAATGCCATTGTATATATATTTTTTCTCCCTTCATTCAGCTATAAATCACCAATCGGTTGATTCAAAATGGAATCAGCCTGACACGATCGATTTCTCTCCAGCTGGAGATTTGAATTTATCGTCAGCAACTGGAAAGAGCCCTTTCACAAAATCGTATCTATTTAATTTCACATTAAGAATATATTCTAGTTCCAAATAAAGAGGGAATCGAGATCAGAGATGTTGTGAATAAAAATTAGAATAGCATTTTGCTTGGCAATGGAGACAGGTATGCATGCATATACAAGACGGAAAACACGAGTCATAAATTTTATTCCCGGTTGAAGTAGAAGGCAAAGGATTCTGACCACCACTGCGTATACATATTTGGAGCGCGTTATATTTCAATCTGAGTGTATCCATCCTCACAGGGGCCCTCCCTGATCGGCGCCAGAACACTGTTCTCGTGTATGGGGGTTTCGTGTTCACGTTGTTGCGGTTACCATTGTTCCAGTTGCAAATTTTTATCGTGTAAGCACGAGCCGATTTCACAGTGGGGGGTAGTATTCTTCCACTACTGAAAATAATGTCACGGTATATGCATATGACAAAATATTATTCAAAGTATCAAAGCAGTTCATGCGGATGATCTGTGCATCAATTTTTTTATTGTGTTATCTCTTCTCCTATGAATGTCAGTCATTATCAAGATTTTGACATGCGCTGTTGGAAAAAAATTGAAATTTCATGGGAAGTTGACTCGTAATCTTTGGGAGAGTGCCATTAAATCCCACGCAGAGGGAGAAATTACGAAATTTCAAATTTTACTGGATATTCAATGAGATTCGAAATCGCTTTAGCCGCAGGACGACGAGAATTCCCCGACTTACTTGAACTTCTAATAATAACGTGAATATTTAGCAGCGAATTGCACAGAATTTTTAATTCTATCAATTTTTATGGAATAATTGAATTCAATTGAATTCACGGCACTCGACATTTTCATATAAAAAATGAATTAATTTGGTCGATAAACGAACTAGAACTGGCCCAAATATTTCTAATGCGAGGTCATTAAACATTATTAATTTTAATACTCATTTAGAGCCTTAAAAATGCAATAAACCAATGATTAATTGTTAATCAGTCAGAATTTCGTAAATTATCAAAATTTAAACACGAGGTTTAATCGCTATTAAATGGCGAATTCTGGATCTTAAACTTAGACATCTTTCGACCACTTCAAAAAATTTTTTTGACACCCCCGTCTCGCCAGCCCCTCAGCAAAATAAATTGCGCTAAAATAAAAGTCACGCTGGGCGTGCGGGCGCACGTGTGCATGCGATACACCGGTAGACGCTGATACTGTTGTCCCCCGTCTGCACCAAAAGGGCCGTCAGCTCGCCATTGTTCACGGATCGTGCGAGACGTGAAGATCAAACGGAAAGAGAAACTCAAATAACACAAAACCAAAAACAAAAAAAAATTCCCCCAGGAGTTGCTTTTGTGTCGCATTCGCAAATAATATGCATGTATGACGATAAATATCGCAAGCTGGTGATACAGCATGTGGGCTTGGCGCCAAGCAGGTGCCATCACAAGCGAATGTATCTCCCAAGAGGTGTATCAGAGGTATTTGAACCTTCTCGAAGCCATCGCGATCGCCCGCAATATCCACCTCATCATTTCCTCTTCCTCATTCAACCTTTGATGTTGAACAATTGACCGGAGAAAATCCCTTATCCATCGACCTTTATTTATAACAGTTTATCCGTGGCAAATGTAAAAGAGGGAAAGACCAGAGACGATGCAAACCATTTAAGGCGTGGACATTTTGTTCTGTCACCGTTGTCCGTGTTCTCTCCTCCTCGTACGAGAGTACGAGGACCACCTACGCGAGACGCAACTCTACCTCCTTCGCAAAACATTTTATAAACGACTTCTAGTCGTCTATTCCTCGCATTTTTTTTTCTTCCTCTCTTTTCACATATGTTGATAAGTGAATGCCCAATAGATTCAGAAATCGTGTTTTTTCGCTCCATTCACGCGCATTGGCTTCTCCTTTTATGCGTAGGACGGAGAAGAATGCAAAAGCTCTATACTCTTAAAAATACTGAATTGAAATTCAAGTTTCAGATAGATATATAGGAGGGTGGGGTAAAATGGATACTAGACTTTTTTTAAATTATTCATAACTCAGAAACAAATTCATCAATTGAGCTCAGTTTAGGCTCGTCCCAAAGGGAAAGAATTCAGTAGTAAAGCGGTAAACCGGGTTAAGTCGATTTTGATTATTGGCCAGTTTTTGGCGAATAGCTCGGAATCTAAAATAGATGGAAAATTTTTTGTCATGACCTTTTTTGTACAGCCAATTGAGGGTTACAAAAAAGGTCCCAGGCAAATTCTGCCATCTCTCTTAGATTCCGAGATATTCATCAAAAACTGACCCAAAGTCAAAATCGACTTAAACCGGTTCACCGCTTCGCTACTGAATTGTTCTTTGTATTGAAAAAAAATTCGTAAATTTCATCAACATTTCAACCCCTCATTAACATTTTTAAAAAAGTGAAAAGTGTCCGTTTTACCCCAACCTCCCCTAATGCAGAACATGAATATTCAGTACAAAAATGAGATTAATTCTCAATGTATTTTTAATTCGCGGATAATATATCCATTCTCTCATAATCAATTGAACACGGAATTTTTAAATTCGAATATCACTCGTCAAAAATGTTTGAAAATTTATCCAGAAAATTCAGCCAAAAATTTCTAACCGTTTAGAAATTTCGAGAAGCTCACGAAGAGAGATGTTCAGTAAAAATTACGGAACTCACAATTCACTCATGATTACGGAATCGACTCATAAAATTTAAGTGACGGTATCGTAATTTTTCACAGGAGATCCTATTCTAAAAAGAACATACACTCAAAGCCGATAACTATCGATATCTCGCAAGTCTGTCACGCTTATTCCTCATTGGTTCCAGTCGTCTGAGGCGGAAAATTAAATAATGATTAATTTAATTTTGCGATTTTCAATTATGATTGTTACAATTGCAGCGCGCGTTCGGTCTCGTTCAGATAAAAATTACGGAACGCTCGGGAAAAATTTCGTGACAGTTCCGTAAAATTTCCTACAGCCACATTTCGCTCCGGAATTACGGAAAATATACGTAATTTTGTATTGAGTATTTCTCTCCGCGCGGCACTGAAGAAAATACTTCTGCCAAATTTCCATTCGCGGAGAGAAAATAAACAATTTTATCTCTCAATTCCCCCTAATGAAATAAACCATAACTCCCGAAGTGCGTGTGAACGATCATCGCACAGAGTCTCTGAGCGTTGTTAAAACCAAAGAAGTAATTCTCAAGTGGCACTTAAGTATACCACTGTGCACTCGAAAAGAGCCCCCGCCCCCCAGTGCAATCAAAAAGTATAACGTTCGGTGGCACTCGACGGGGGGGAAAAAGAAAAGAGGATAACAAGCGTTGTTAATACCGTCCATTTCGGGACACACCACCATGCCCATTTGCACCCAAGTATTTATAGGATCATTTGTGCTCCCACGTTTCACTTCCAACACCTATGGCTCAGAAGTTGAGATCCAACAAGACGAAGTGTCCTTTTACGTTTTTACGTATCCAGAACTGCTGAGGGGCTGTAATTAGCTGGATCACGGGTACAAAATTTTACGCTGCGCGTCGTTAAATGGCGGTACAATACGGCCAAGTCACCCTGCGGGTTTTAGTTTACGAGTTGAGGATTGTTTTGAATAATTTACACCTATAAAATCGTCTCTGGACGGAGGGAAAAAAAATCCCATTGAATATTACCCCTGAACTCTAGTAAAAAATGCGAGAACAATCGCAAAAATCCCAGTATTCTGTGGAATTTCTACTTTAACTACTACATTTTTATTCACCCTTTCTCCTTCATTTCATCAGAATTCTAATTAATACAATTTTATGCCCATTTTTTTCTCATTCTGAGTAGAACGAGAAAAAAATGTGCGTAAATAGATCCGAAGGTCGTTCCTTTCAGCCGATAAAATCTCTCATTATCATAATTGGACACCCCTCAACGATTTGTGAAAATCAGATTGTCATAAAAGTGAAATAACCGAGACAAAAATACAGGGCAAAACATATCCAATAACCACTGAATGCCCATTCGTGTCATTAAACCTCTGATAGCTCGAGTGAACCCACACTATCAAGTTGCTTTATCCACTCATTTCCTGTCTCGAGACTTCAACAGCACACATGCAAATGACGAGTTTAACTCAAACATTGCATGTGTACAAGAATCATCGACAACTTCCTATGAATCGTGAAAGTTGTCTTATTAGTTTGATCTCAGGCGCCCGAGTTACACTCAAGTGTTTGCTCAGAGAGCTTGTTGTATAATTTCCAGTGTGATAATGGTGGAAGACCCCCCCTGCACGAGAGAGAGGTGACTGAGAGCTTGTACTTGAGTCATTACAGCGTTATCTCAATGAATTTAATTGATTATTCCTGACATTTTCATAAATAATTTCTTCATTGGAAAATTCCTCATGCGCATATCGTTTTTCTTTCAGGATGGAGAGAGAATATTCATTGGGGCGCCTGGAAGTTGGTACTGGCAAGGTAAGAATTATTTTCATATTCATGAAGTCGTCGTCCCTCCCCTCTCCCACCCCCCACGTCGACAGGATAATTTCTTCAGAATTTTTTACAACAGACAAACATAAAATTGCAGAGTTTTTCTCTATGAAAATCCGACAATCGAAAGAAAATCGTTCAATCATTCCCTGAAAGTTGAAAATAATCTCCTCAGGAGAATAATTAAATCTTTATAAACTAATGTAAATAATGTTAATTCAGGCTGAAAGGTGTAAATCCGAATAGGCGATCAAGAAAAAGATTTTTATTAAAAATATTCCAGGTCAGCTGTTCTCAATCGCAAGGAGATTGGAGAATAGACTCTTCGTGCCGCCCACCATCTATACAGGTACCACACGAGTCCCCTCCCCCCCATTCAAAGCAGATCCACGAACAATTATTAGTCCTCCCAAATTAACAAAAATTCTAAAACAAGAAAATTTATCCCAGGAAATAAAAATTCACCGCATCAACCTCTCAATGAGATAATCGTTGAGATCATCAGCGCATAAAATTCTGAAAAAAACTTCTCTCAAGAATCAGAATGATGTGTTGTACCCTCGCCTGATAATCCGATTACTCTGATTTTTCTCCCCCCCTTACACTTGCTTGGCAGTGCTGTGCTAATTATTTATTAATACATTCATCGAGTTAATTAGATAAATAATGCAGCGGTTTATTTATGGCTTTCGATTAAACAGAGGTTTTACAGCCCCGTGATTAACCATTTCCCCTCCTAATAAACGTAATCAAGTTCCTCCCAGAATGAAAATTTTGATTGAGATTACATTAGCGTATGTAGATAGATAATTCTAGTTTTTTTTTCCCTGGAGTTAAATTTTAATGCCTTATTATCACTGCCAGGTGAGTCCGAGGGTGGTCTAACAGGTGTGGGCCGCAGCTTTTTATTCATTTACAGCTTTATTTTTACAGAGTGATGGCAGTAAGCAAATAATGACATTAATTGAATAATTAATTCTAGGAATTAAACAATTATGAACGAGTGGCTGGATTGCTTACGACGGCTGTATCACACAGATTTATTTAATCGGATAGAACAGAACTCGCTTTAGTACAACATTAAACCAGAAATTATCAATTAATATAACGATGATTAACAGTGATGCGTGGAAGTATTTCACTTGTTAATTGGGAATTTTATTCACAGGACAAGTGTACACACAGTCGCCACATACCAAGGGACAAGTCATGTTTACTAAGGAAGGATCTCCGGAGGAAGATGACAGTTACTTGGGGTATGCACTGGTGAGTGGAGATTTTTTGGGCACTGGAGATGTTGGAAGCGCTGTTGGTATGCCTCGAGGGTATGGACTTCATGGCAAGGTAAAATAATTCATTTACATTCGTTGACTCGATAAATGAGTTCAAGATGAATCGACTGTTTAATTAACGATACTTGATGATAAAAAAAATACTCAAAAAAAATTCTAATTTCTTTTCAATTGATAGACGAAGGATCTCCTTTACACTGATAGAATGATTCATTTGTTCCAAACGAGATTCGTTGACTATCAGCGAATGAACATTTGGTGAGACCAAATCAACAGCGAAGCGGTAAACCGGGTTAAGTCGTTTTTTACTATTGGCTAGTTTTTGACGAATATCTCGGAATCTAAAAGAGATAGAAAGATTTGTGTCATGACCTTTTTTGTAGAGCCAATAGCGCGTTATAAAAAAAGTCATGAGAAAAATTTTGCTACCTCTCTTAGATTCCGAGATATTCAGCAAAAACTGGCTACTAGTCAAAATCGAATTAACTCGGTTTACCGCTTCACTTCTGAAATAGATCCTAGCCTTCAACCAAATCCATTTGTTAACAATAACTAATCTTGTCTATCAGTGTACTTTAACAGAAATATCAATCAGCAACGCGAATTTTTTATTCAAAAATAAAATAGACAATATGCATTCGATTATTTGCACTTTATTTTGGCTTTCATTTTTGGAGTCGTCCAACAGGTGAATTATCAATTTGAAAATTTGTTTATTGAATATTGTCAGAGCTCCTGCAACTAATTTTTTTTAATTATCAAAAATGTTAGTTTCACATGTTTAATCATTACAAAAAATCGCAGAAAGATGGATAAACATTCTTGATGAATGTAATTGTTTTTTTCTTGCGCAAATTGGTGAGTTAGTATCGTTTATCAGGTGGTCCTCTTGACATCCAACATGACGAATCATCAAAACGTCACCGGTGAACAGATGGGCGCATATTTTGGATATTCATTAGCAGTTGGAGATATCGACGGGGATCGCCTGGACGATCTAATCGTGGGCGCTCCCATGTTCACGATACCCGACAATACCGAGATGACCTTCGAGACTGGGAGGATTTATGTATTCTATGGGAGAGGGCCTAACAAATACCGAGAGTTTGATTTTAGGTGAATACTAATGCTTAAAACCACCCACTGAATTTTTATTTTATTTTATTGCATTTTATTCTATTACACTTTCTATTTGTTTTTGGCCGATTCCATGAGAAAAAAATAATAGGACTCGATTTTTCTGTACATTATATTCTATTGCGATATTTTCTATAGAAATCTATCGACTCAAATTTTCCAAGATTTTTTCATTTTATTTTTTAACGCAAAGAGAAGAAAATTTTGGTGAAAAAAAATGGAAAATTCTTATCGAGAAATTCCTATCGAGAATGTCTCGACAGAAAAAAATTGTATAGAAGGATGAAATTGAGCAGATTCTCTCTATAAAACATTTTCGACTTCCAGAGACGGAGAGAGCAACAGAGGTCGTTTCGGTCTGTCAGTGGCATCCCTAGGTGACCTAGACCTCGACGGTTACACGGACTTCGCAGTGGGTGCCCCCTACGCTGGTCCGGAAGGTCGTGGTGCCGTCTACATATACCACGGCTCCTCCGAGGGAGTTCTCGAGAAATACTCCCAAGTGATCTACGCAACGCACCTCAGCCACCGAGTCCAGACCTTCGGGTTTTCTGTGTCAGGTGGCCTCGACCTGGACGGCAACTCCTACCCAGACATGGTGGTCGGTTCCTACGAGTCCGGAGCGGCGATGTTCTTCCGAGCCCGTCCCGTCATCAAGATGGTGCAGGCTGCGACTTACGCCGAGTTCCAGTCAGCCTCGAAACTCGTCTCCCTCGAGGACCAATCCCGAGTGATTTCTAATGGACTGAGAGTCACGTCTCTTCCCCTGAAGACTTGCTTCCAATACGATGGAATCGGAGTTGCTTCTGAATACGAATTCAATGTACAGTACGTTCTCGACGTGAAGAAGACGAAGAGCCCGAGGATGTTTTTCCTAGAGTTCGAGGGTCTCAACGAGAAGAATCTCCCGATAAGAATGAAGAAGGGTCAACAGAACTGTCGAATATTCAACGTATACCTCACCCCGAACATTCGGGACAAGCTCACCTCCCTCGACGCAGAAATGAGGATAAGTTTAGCAGGAGATCAGTGGGTGGACCAACGCCCTAGGGACCCCCGACTGCCCCTGGAGCCAGTCCTCGCGATGACGTCAACCCAGAAGGACAGCATCTCCATCCGGAAAAACTGTGGGGACGACAACATCTGCGAGCCCGATCTACGCCTCACCTGCATCTCCAAACCGACAGAGTACCTCCTGGGCTCTGGAGAACGTCTCGAGCTCGATGTTACCGTCACGAACATGGACGAAGACGCCTTCGAGGCGACTTACTACCTGATCCTACCCCTGGGAATCGATTACATCAAGATCGAAACACTCGTGTCCAAGGACACATCAGTGAGGTGTTCCCCTCCAACAGCCTCCAACAACAACACCCTGAAGTGTGACATTGGCAATCCTCTTCCTCACGGATCAGTCGTTCACTTCAAGATCTGGCTGCAGCCGTCTCACGTTCATGGGGAGAAGTCCACGTACGATTTCCACATGAAAGTCAACTCCACGAACCCCGAACCGATAGAGAGAACTCATGACAATGTTCTATATGTTCCCACTGGAATCCTCGTGAACTCTAATCTCCTGGTCGAGGGCGAGAGCAAGCCCAAGGACTTGTACTACAACCCATCCAATTACACAGTAATTAATGCAACCACTGACATTGAATATGGCCCAGCGTTCATCCATAATTACACGATAAGGAACAAGGGCCCATCGACGATCGAAGCTAGTGAAGTGTTCCTGGTGTGGCCAGGAAAAACTCTCGCAGAGGACGATTTTGTTTACCTCATCGATCAACCTGTGGTGGATGGCAACATCAGATGTGCCACAGCCAACGCAAACTCCCTGTCTCTGAGGATCGAGAACAGGAAGAAATTCTCGACTCACTACGAGACTCGACCTGGCTATCAACCCCTGACGAATCCCCAGAAGAATATTCATGTTCACACTGGCGAGAATAGCTACGATTCTGGGGTGAAAGGGTCCAGAGGTGGGGAACAGATTTACGATTCGACTGAGAGGACTCGAGGAGAGAGTGAACATGCAACGACTAGTGTTTGGGTGTCCAAGCCAGGGGGAGGGGTTGTCATCAGCACTGGAGGGGGTGCTCTGGGCTCTTCAGAGGGTTCGATTTACACGACCCAGAGGAATTCATTTGGATCTGGGGGATTTCAGGGAACGTGGGAGAGCGATCGCACCTTCAGCAGATCGAATCAGAGTTCTCATGGACTGAATGAGGGACAAGTGACTGTTGAGAACAGGCACACGGGAGGGGAGGAGACTCTGGTGAACATTCATCAGACCGAGAGTGAGAAGCGCTTCAATAATTTTCAGAATCTCCAGGAGGAGAACCGCCGGAAGCAGATGCTGAAGCATGAGGAGGAGGAGCGGATTCGACTGGAGGAGGAGGCCTTCATTGCTCAGAGGAAGAGAGAGGAGGAGGAGAGGCGCCAGAGGGAGAGGCAGAGGTTCTACGGGCAGTCCACTGGGCGTCATGACATCATTGGCGATCGAGAGGAGCACATCGGCGTCGGGGACTTTGGAATTCGATCTGGGGGAGTCGCGACTTCTGGGGAACTCCAGAGGTTTTTGGCTGATCTGAAGGAGACTGTGGGGTACGAAGTGTTCAGTCGTGGCCAGCGGCAATATCTGCAGTTCCTGGGGAGGTTCATGGTGGCTGTCGATGGGAAACAGTACATCGAACTCAAGGATGGACCCATTTTACCTCTGCAGAATCAGTACGGAGAGCAGAATTATGGATCCAGTCAGGGGGTGACTGATAGGTACTCCAAGGTCGAGGGCGAGATCATCACTGGGGAGGACGGACGGGTTTACTGCAGGTTGAGTGATAATAGGAGGTTCCCACTGCAGAGCTCCTGGAGCTTTTCCGAGGAGAGGAGCTATACGGTCAAGGGGGGACAGGCTGGAGGAGGTGGAAATCGATATCAAGGTAATTATGGAGGGGAGAGGATAAATTAACTTTTTCCAAGAGTAATCGACGCAATTATAAGGGAGGGTTGGTCAAAATGGGCAGTTGACATTTCGACATTCATAGCTCAATTATTCATCTATTCAGTTCAGTCAAGGTTCATTACAACAAAAATTATCCCATTTCACTTGTGGTTCTATGAATGATTGACATTTGAAATAAATTTCAAAATATGAATTAGTTCTTGGGATGATACAGCTTCTCAAAGACAAAATTAATTGATCAGGAATGAAAAATCAATCACTAAATTATTAATTATGTTTCGATATATTTATATGTCAAGGACAAGGCAGGAGCAACCAAGAAGAGAGTTTGACGAGTGGTTCTGGAAACTCCTGGCAACGAACATCCTCAAATCACGAGAATTTCGGTAGTGGAGAGGTCGAGACTTACGAGACTCGAAGCCATGAGGAGAAACGAGTCACCGAGCGAAAGCAGGGGAGTAGAACCTACGAGCGAGAGGGCTTTGGTAGCGCCCAGAATTATGAAGACAGGAGACACAGACTCAGACGTGAAGCTAATCAAGAGCTTCTGAGGCATGAGAGATTGAGAAGAGAGATAATATCGTTCGGTGAGGATATAAGACAAGTTGATCAAGCAATGATCGATGATGCAATCAGAAGGCCTGACCAGACAGACCAGAATATCCTGAATGAGCTTGGATTCTGTGGCAATGCGAGGTGCCTCGTCCTCAGGTGCTTCGTTGGACGACTCGTCAAGGATGAGGAGGTGTCCATCAGTGCCAGGTTCAGGGTGAAGGGAGCAACGCTCAATAAAATCTCTGCGGGAGAGAAATTAAATGTTACAACAACAGTATACGCCAATGTCACTAAACTTCCGTTTATTGGGAGACCTCATCATCTGGTTTCCGCCAGTCATCAAGTTGTTACTGTTACTGAACCCACTGTTTCGTCTGTTGAATCTGGTGGGGTTCCTCTGTGGGTTGTGGTATTGTCTGCTGTTGCTGGAACAATTATCCTGTTGTTGTTGATCTTTCTACTGTACAAGGTACACTTTCCTGTTCTTTTCTCTCTAAAAGATGCTCAAATGTCTCAAATTAATGGAATTGAATTAAATATCGTCTTTTTGTGGTTCTAGTGTGGATTCTTCAAGAGGAATCGACCAACAGATGCGCCCGAAAGGCAGCCACTGAATCGAAACGGTCATTTTCAGCATGGAGATGACCACATGTGAAGCATTTGAAGAAAATATCGAGGATATTTTGAGATCCCAATCGAATTGTTAATACGAATATAAAAAACTCGAGCGAGTCCTGTGCCTTTGTTTCATATCAATTAAACTGAAGGCAGTGGAATTTCAACGAGTGGAAGATGATTTTTGGTAGTGACGCTTGTGCCTTCGTCCATCGATAGAATATCGATAAATGTCTTCGTAAGATAATCATAAGAATGATTTACTGCCATAAAATACTCCCTTCTAGCTCCTGCAGCTCTACTTTACAAGTTTCTAGTCAGAAACGATTTAATTACGTAACTACTTAAGCTCACGCACAATTGAAAATTTTAATTAAATACTCTTTCCTTGACTAATAGTGCGTGTGCACCGTATATTAATTATAATCATACTTGTTAGCTGCGGGAGCTTGCGATTATGTGCTCCTGGTTTAGAGTTGAGAAATTATGATTAACACACGAATGAAAAAATTCCAGAGAAAAAAATAATGAAATCGTGAGAAAATTCTATTAACAATGAAAATTATTGTATTCAAGAAAAGAGTTTTCATTGCACATTTTTTATTATAAAAGCGCGCATTGAAATCGCGGAATTCTTCAATAATACACGTCCTATAGAATTTTCCATCACATTCGCTGAATTTTTCTGTGAATTTTTTTCTCGCGTGCATTTTTTTATAATTCTGTCTTGTTTAGAGATCTCACACGCAACTAATGAATGTCACTGTTTCATTCTGACTGTCTTCCAACTCTAATTGACTAAAATAATACCCAATGGGCGAGCATAATAAGCTGCATTTATTATGTCTGATTAATTAATTGTATTTATTCCTGCCTTCTACGTGAATCAGTACGAATGGGACATTTGCATTGTTCGAATGTGAAGAGCACTCTCACGAGGGAAACCAAGTAATCTTCATATTTATTGAGAATTCAAGAAATTTTGTATTTTTGACGAACGTCCGGACGTCGGAGTAGAATCAATTCCCCTCTGAGTATGTGTACAACGTGTAAATTATTAATTTCATACTAAAATGATTTTTTAAATAGCTTTTAACTACTGCAATAATTAATTTTATAGGAATATTATCAGTTCGCTTCCACTTCAAGCTCGTGGAAATGTAGAACTGATTTGTAAATACAGAGTAAGGTTTAATATAAAAATTATAGATATATTAATTCAATTGAATAAGTATTTTATTTATTCATTCCCTTTCTGTCATTAGAACTCAGAAAATGTTGATTTGATTTTTGTTTCGTTTATATTTGTCATCAAAACGCATACAAAAATAGTCTACAAATTTTACGATGATTCAGGTTTTGGTAAAAATATATTCATCACTCTTGAGTCATGCAAGTTTACGTAAGGTAAGATTCATGATTGTTATTACAGCCGTGTGTGAGTTGAACGCATATTTACAATCTCTCTTTGGAATATTACGTATAAAAATATTAAAAAGCAAAAGGAACGTACTAATTTGTAATCATACAAAAATTAAAATACAAATTTACGTATCCTGAAGGTTTTTGTCTTGCATTTCTTTGGGCAGTTGAAATTCGAGAATCAATAAACAATTATCTACAATGATTTTTCTCAATTTTTCTCACTCCACGGCTCATCAACTTCAGACATTAAAGAATCGTAAAAATTGGGTAGAGATTAATCTCTGAATATCACAAAACAAATTGAGAAATGGAGTTGAAAAATTATTATGACGATTGTACCCGTAAAATAGTTGCCTTGAGAGATTTAGTGGATCAATAATTGAAGTCACACAGATGAACGAATAGTTTAGATGTGGGAATTTTCTATTTCTGTATTCAGGTCCCCTTCGAAAGGATCTTCATCCCTGGATCAGCTCTCTGGAACCTGCCGAAAACTCTCATTAAAAATATTGATCACGACGATTAATCAGAAAATGATAGAATTCATGATGATTCACCTTCCACTGCAATTCATTTCCTACATCGTACAACTGTTTGAGTGCCTCCATCAATTTCCCACTGTCCTCCAAATCCCTGTACTTGTGATAGAGTTCCAGAGCAGCTCGAGCATCCTCAGTGGAATCATGAGTTTCAGACTGAATTTTTTTACCCAGAAAGTGCCACGTCAAGAATCGTAACGACACCATACGACGATGAGGTAAATGAAACAACAGCACAGTATCTATAATTTGTTCTGATGGAACTACCAGGTTTATCACTCTGAAAATAATTCACCAAATTCATTAATCACCTCATCAAATGATCAATAATAGGTGACGAGGGGGCAAAATGGACACTTTAACACTTCATTTAATTGCTGATAAAAATGGGATAATTTGCCTTTCTCTTTGTAATAATTCCACACAGAACTCAACTGATCAATTTACTCACGCGTTCAGAATATTAAAAAAAAGTCTGAATTATCCATTTTACCGCCTCCCCTACGCCGCTCATTCCCTCACCTGAAATCGTTCTTAAGTCCATGTCCCACGAAAATAATCCCATTATCCACGAGAAACCTCAGCTTCTGATAAGTGGACTTGAGGGTCGTCAAGTGTTTGCTACTAAAATTGGCGTCGAGATCCCCAGGTTGGATTCCACTGAATTTTGTCAGATAATCCACGACCTGCTCCTGAGTGCTGATATAATCGTCGATGAAAGGAGTGCCCTCCAGTGGGCCCTGCCCCCTGATACAAGTGATCCTCGCCACAGACATGTGACTCGGTTTGATGGTCGACATCTTCCCATCACTCCTCAACTCCGACTCCTTCTGATTCAACGTAACGAACTCAGCGTCGATCCCCACGAGATCCCCCTTCTTCGGCATTTCATCCGAAGTTAGAGGAGTAAAAGTGATGCCCCTGGTGCCTCCACTCCTGGCCACGCACTTGTCTTCCCCGAAGACATCCGAAGTGAGAGGGCTGACGAGGGCTGCGGGCTCAGGTGCTGGAACAGCAGTGTAATGCAGGACACAGGGCACCTTCCAATCTAGATTGAACCAGACAGCTTCCTGGGGGGTGACCGCAGATATGTTGAAGTCATTGAAGAGATACCACTGGGCAACAGCACTCCCAGTGGACCTCTCGTGGTAATTAGGCCCCACCCTTATCAGAGCCACCACGTGACGTCTCTCCTCACTCGTCTTGTCATCCACATAGCAAACGACTCCTGTCAACGTGTACTGAATCTTCTCGACCTTGGGGTCATCGCTTCCCCCCTCTTTTGGACTGGAGTTCTCTTCAGGGGGCCTGTCCTCACTGGTCGACGATCTCTCGACGTCATTTGTCAACAGTTTCCCCTGGCCATTCTCCACGATTAATGGCTTGCTGTTGACAACCTCTCGGTTTATCTTGTCCAGCTTTCCAACTGACAACTCCCCATTCGCGTCCAGGGAGACTTCAATGCAGTGGGGAATCCAGGAGTGAGAGTAGTACAGATGGCTCGGAGGGGCTGCTATCTGCACTGGAGTCGACGAAGGCCCTGACGGCGAGGGCTGGGGCTCAGAGTCCTTCCCCACGTGCCTGAATCTGCAGCCAGAGCGAATGCAGTTGGTGCCATAACGACACATCTTCACCATGTTGGGGATGGGGCTCGAGGAAGGACTCGAGTCCTTTCCGTTCATGAGTTTCTGCACGATTATGTCCATCTGGGTCTGCCAGAAGGATTTCTCCTGTTGAGTGTCCAGGCCGCAGTTGAGGGCCAGGATTTTCGGGAGTTTTGTTATTCTCCTGCTTTGGAGTGTTGGACTGAACTTCTGGCAGCCGTCGCACCAGGCAGGTGTCACCTTCTCCGGTTTTAAACTTCGAGCGAGGATCTTGGTGAAGGGGATCTCATCGTTGGGGTTCGTCACTTCAGGGTAGATTAAATTGTTCAGGAGCATTATCGAGTGCTTTGACGCCTCTTGTCCACACTTCAGGCATCTGTGAATGTGGATCTGCTCAGCTCCGAACATTCTACTTATCTCAGTTTCCTCTTCACGTACTTCGTTTTCGTCTGTTTTTTTGTTTGTGTTTTCTGGGGGAGGAATTAATGAAGGGGTTCATTCGTTAGTGATTCGTTGATTGAAGGTTTCCCTCGATTTCTTAGAGATACATGTGCAGGTGGCGTAGAGAGTGGGGTAGAATGAACATTTGAACTATTTGAATTATTGATGACCCGAAATCACCCCTTTTCTTTCTCATGGAAGAGTGAATTACAGTTGAATTTATCCTTGCGTTATGGAATTAATCAACATCTCGTTATGGAATTGAAAAATTGACAAATGTCCATTCTATTCCCCCTCTAGAAAAATCAGTAAATAAATAAATAAAAGCAAATGCGGATTTTTTCATGTACTCGGTTCGGTTCTATTCTGTTTTATTCTGCTGTGAGTTGGCGATAGGGTCGATGAGCTGTATCTTAAAAATCAGGTGAGTAAGGGAAGAATGTTCATGCATTAAAAAAAAACATGAAAAAAAATAAAAATCGAAAAATAAACACAACAAAAAGTGTTCCAATGCAAAAGGGTTTACACATATAAATTGTGTTTACCTTTCGCCGCGATCCACATATATTTACCGTCCTCCTCTTGTTTCTTTTTCTTCTTCTTATCTAGATCATGGCTTTTGTATCGTGACCCAAGGTCTTGAAGGATACTGGGAAAATCCTGCTCGTTGTACACGAATGGTGGATACTTGGGGCCTGATTTGGAACGCGCAGCTTCTTCCTCTTCCAACTGACGTTTTCGTGTTTCCCAGATTTCGTAATGGAGCTGATGGAGGATGAACCTGTTCCAGCTCTTCAAGAAAAACCAGAGGACAATTAATTTTCGGTTTAACAAAATTCTTCAGACCTTTTCATTGGAATTTATTCCTCACCTGAACTAGTCTGATCAGGCTGGTCTTCCTCCTGGCTTCGGGGTGGAGATCACTGAGAATTAATCCTAGAGCAGCTGCTTCTGGAACTGTCCTGAATGCACGCAGGAAGTTGGCAGCTTGACATGGGGTACCTCTGGAGGTGTCCAGCATGTGGAAGAGATAACCGAGCTCGCAGGAGAGGCAAAACTCTTTCTGACATGAGTGAGATAGGAGGGCTGATCTGACAGGATCACAGTAATACATCAGCTGCAAGAGAAGAAAACAGGAATAATTAAATTATTAATTATTAATTCAATAATTTAGTGAATAATTATCGATTTCAATGAATTAATAAAATAAAAATTAATAAAAGTAAATAATTAAGAAATTGGGGAGTAGAAAAATTTACCTGAAGCATCGCATTACAATAGCTATTCGGCAAAGTTGCCTCCAACCCTGAGAAACTCGTCAGATTATACTGATCAAAATCAAATTCGTCATACCCCAATCTCGAATATTTAACTTCAATCCTACGATAACGTTTAGGAATGGCAATGAAAGTGCCATCCTCAGTCTTGGGTCTTGGTTCACCTGCAAATAATTTTGTCACCAAGCCCCTTCGTTTTTCCAAATTATAAGGTACCTGCAAAATAAATCACATATCAATCTGTGAATAAATTTCTACGCCCGAATACTATTTATATCGTGCACCTGTACAAGACTTTCTTCTTCCACCGTAGACTCACTCATTCGTTATATTAAAGCTACGCAGATATATCTCATACAACATTTATTGCAATTCAGTACAATTTATTCGTACACCATTGTTTTTATACATTTTGCGTATGAGTTTAATTGAAAATGTACGTTTGCTGGATTCTTATTTCAATCAGTCTTCCTAAATTCTTTTATTTGTCAGATCAACTGACGTTATCAATTCTTATTCACCTATAGGCACTAAATTTGGAAGAGAATATAACATTTTTACAATAATACCTTATGCTGCATTCGATATATTACAACGTATTCCTTTTAACAGTAATAGAAGTGAAAAAGAGTGGAGAGAGATAACAGCACCATGCAATAGCAATATATCACAATCTTGTATTAATTTTAAAATAAAAGCATTAGGGATGAGGGAGAAAATAAAGTTTTCCCTGAATAATTTCTGGAGCCCTCCACTTGCACAACTGAACACCAAAGATTCTTGGATAACGCGGGAAGACAAGGAATCAGATGGACCTCTTGGGAAATATGCGGAATGGGGGTGGTGTGAATGGTTCAAGCTTGGATGAGTAATTTTTCCTCACTTGGTTTCTCCGAAATGCCTGAGGATTCGGTGCATAACCGATCGTTCCCTGCATCTTCATCGTCTTCAGTATTTCTGGATCTATTGCTGGGGTTTTCCTGGACAGTTGATCATAAATCAGTGAAAACCTCTTCGTCTTCACGTTTATTCAAGTGTTTTTTTAAGGTTTTTGCACACGTACCGATAGATCTTCTTCAGGAACTCCTCCGGCCAATCACTGGCCAACGTGTGTCCAGTGTACATCATGGGAACTGTGCTCAAAGGTGTGAGATTGTCATCGAATGATATCGTCTCGAGGGTTTCCACTGGATCCGCAAACTCTGTTGGCCTGATCAATTCACATTGATGAAGCAAAAGTTCCTCAAAAATATTTCAAATGCATTTTCAATGTTTTTTGGTAATTAACTAGGGGGATAATCCCTGAAGCATAAACTGTAAACTAATTTTACCTTGAAAACGTGTTAAACTGAGGATCTGGCGCATTGGTGGCCATCAGGTGAATGGATCCAGCGGCATCACCAAAACCAAGACATTTAGATGTTGGAGATACGTCGAACGACAGCACCATAGCCCCTCCCGTTGCAACCTGACGAGTAATAAATAGAAGTCCCATGAAAAGTTGCGACTTTCCTCAGTTTTTTTGCGTTATTTTATTATTTGCAAACATAGGGATGAGTTTACCTGGTAGAGACAGGTCAACGACGGCTGGACATCAGCATAAATAGTGTCCAGGAGCTGCATCTGCCCCAGGGGAGACACAACTGCCAGTCGACTCGAGTAGCTCGGCAGGAATTTCAATAGAAATGGATAAACCAGGGTTGTAACTGGTGTGAGTGCTCTCATCTGCCTCAAATCGTAAACCATCAAGAACCTGTCGGCTGACAGGCCCTGTCGACTGTTGCTGAAGCCACACGTGACTAGATAATTCCCCTGAATATCAAAATCACTGAGTGATCCACTGTGAGTGTCAAGTGTGTGCTCAATCGACAGGGAATTGGGATCCCTCAGGTCGATCCTGCCTGCTGGGTTTCCAGCACAAATGAACTTGCCATGCTGTCTCAAGATTGCACAACCGTTCTCCCCAACGTGCACGTAACTCGTCTCTTTTCCTCTGCTCAGGTCGAAGTCGACGATTGTCTCCTGATGACCTCCCATCAGCAGGCGAGATCCGAATTGAAGCATGCACTGCATATCTATCATGTTTGGAGACCTGAAATAATAATTCTGGGGGTTTTATTTTTTTGTTGAATCAAGCTGATGAGTGGTTATTATTTTAAGAGGTCTTGAAAATTAGTAAAAAAAAAGAAAACGTTTTTCAAGCGTTTTTTGAGAGCTTCAGGTGACTTGAATTGACTTAAAATGAAGAAAAAAGTTGAAGAAAATCAATATTTGAGAAAAAGACAATGGGAATAGAAATATTTGGAAGTTGTTTTGAATTAGGTCCATGGACCCTTTACTAAAATTCCTTACGTATGAGTGAATAATGGAATTCCTCGACGCAGTTGTCCCCTGAGTGCAGTCTGAGTCAAACACAATATTCCCTCGTCAATAGGGTGAATGTGTCGAACTTCCTGGGTTGCATGTACTTGAAACGATGTGTATTTCTGCAGTCCTGAGCCATAGTACGAAGTCACATGGCCCTTAAATAGCAATATGGAAAACGAACCAAATAAACATACTTGAAAAAACCACCCAGCAAAATTTCGTTCGATTCTCTCCCCTTAAAATTGCAAATATTTCCAAAACCACTGGGTTTATCGAAAAATACCACTGAACCTTTTCTGTAGCTCACAAAATTTCCTACAAAAAAGTCTCTTGAAGTTTTTTGATAGATCCAAGGGTTTTCGGAATATTCCAAGTTTTCAGAGGGACAAAAAAAATAATTGATTTTCTTTCTCACCCCTTGGTTTCCCATCCACATGAGCTCCTCAACAGTATCAAAAACAAGAGTAGAAACTCCAAACCGATGACCCCCATCTGCCAGCAGGGTGTGGGTCTCCTGGAATTCCGCGCCATCGTACTCCTCCCCAAACTGTTCAGTCGCCGGGATGAACCCCTCGACCCCCAGCTCATAACTCTGCTCCTCCCCTAGAACAGACCCTCAAAATCACCACAAACAAAGAAAAAGCCAGATGGGGCAAATCGGACACTTCTCACTTTTCTTTAAAAAAAATCCCATTTCATTGATAATTCAATAATTCAATTCATCGAGATTAAAAAAAAAATCATGTGTCCATTCTGCCCCACTCGTCGCCAAGTCAACAAATGACGTCTGCTCCAACTCACAGATCAAGTTCCCCTCGTCTCCAGGCTCAGCCTCGACGGTTCCATCGTACTGATTCAACAGGGAAAAGTCCATTTTGAATGCCTCTCGCCTCGATTGTGGAATAATTTAATTTGAGTTCCTTTAATTGACTTTTCATAACACAAAATTGAACAGTCGCCTTGGCAACTGGCGATCGCGCTCTGAAACGATCCCCCCGAGACAACAATCGAGCCCCAGTGGCTCGCAATAACACGTATACCGTTAACTGTGCGCAGGTACGGTGGTGGATGGGAATTTTCACTGATCTCTATTCATCATCCTGACCTCAATTATCTGTCAAAAACACTCGGAGGTAAACAGATTACACTAATTAACCGATTAATTCTTGAGTTTACACAGACGATCTGACACTCAACATTGGACTCTCTTCACCCCTAGACCCCACATCCAACAACTTCATGAGAAAAAAACCCTAGAAATCCCCTAAAAATTCATAAGAGCGGGAAATGAACATGTGTTGTTCATTAGGTGCTTCTTGGTGCTTCTCCCGCTGAGAACAAAACATTCAGGATTTGTTGTGCCTCAAAAAGCGATTGAAACCCGTTGGAAAATGTGAAAAAACGACGTGTGTTCTATTAATTCCTCTCCTAAACCCGATAAAATTCCGAAGAATCGTGAAGTGATCAATAAATTCTCGTAAATAACTTTTAAAACAGTCGCAAAACTGAGTTGTCAACACAATAGGAGATCCTCTGCCTCAGCCCAACGTCTCCCCAACCAATGAAAACCTCTGAAATCATCAAAACGTCTTTGATTGATTCGTCACCTCTCAATCAACAATTGAATAACTGAACACATTCGTGTCGTAAACAATCAGTGAGACCCCCCCAAAATGTGAGACCTCGAAAATCCTTAGAATCGCAAAAGTCATTTGAACTGAGGCGTCACTGTGCAGTCGACAGTCATGGAGTCCAGCTCTGTTTTTTTTGTTCTCAATGCTCATTAAATTATTAACGAAGTGTTTCCCACAATAGTCGAAGGGTTTACCTACAAAACAGTAATCATGGAAGCATTACTGCCATCGGAGATAGCTCGACTGATCCTCGGTAAATATTTTCAGCATTTAATTGCAATTTTCTTCTGTCAGAAATGACTCTCGACACTAACCTGAAATTTTCCACAACAATTCGATGATTTTTCGTGTGTTTTGGGTCTTGACAGGCCTAATCACCCCTAGAAACAACGAAACAACGTTCATCCAATGATATTTAAATGCTTCTAGGTTACTTGGAGGAGGAGAACTGCCCAGAAGTAGCGAAAATGTTCCTGGAAAGCTCTCCCCTGCTCACGGAATGCTACACTGTGGCCCAGAGGGGTGGAAAGTTCACGAGGAGAGTGAACGGGATGACCCTGATGAACCTCCTCGACAAGTACTGCGCGATAAGCGCACTGGTGCAGGAGAGACTGAGTAAAATCGAGGACTGCGAGTCCCTGAAGACCTCGGGAGACCTCTTGGAGCAATTAAGATTCCTGATGGATGGCTCCAGGGGCCAGAGGTTCGTCGTCAACATAAACGTGCCCACGCAGAACACGTCTCAGACCTCTGGGGGCTCCCCAATCATCTCCAGCAGCATGAGGAAACGTCGTCACAGTGGTCCAGTCGATCGAGATCGTTCCAAAAAGCTTCACAAGTTGAATTCACCTGTTCTTCGAAGATCAGAGCCGAATGTCCACCAGCCATGTGACACCGTTGAAACGACGTCCCTCGAGCAACTCCCAGGGCACCAGAATGCCTCAGAAGGTCCAGGAATCAGTCAGGAGGACGATCGACGTGTCCAGTGCTCCTCGACGTCGACAGAGCCTTCTTCACTTCCCAAAGACGTCAGTGACAACATGGAGATGTGTACGAGTCTCCCAGAGAAGTCCTCCGAGGGGGATAATCCTCAGAGGGTGCCTGATGCCGCCAGTCAGACCTGCGAGACTGGGACAGACACGAAGGAGCTGATGGCCTTCACGAACACTGAAGTGCAGACAACCCCTTGTGAAGGGTTTGACACTGGTGCAGAGATGATTGATGGGCCTGTTGAGAACCTGAGCTTGCTGACGAAGGAGCTGTTAAATCGAACAGAATTGCAAGAGAGGATAGCACAGACCATCAACAGGACTCTGATTCCATCGGATGTTTCCCTACGTGACGCTTCATTCTGCGAGAGCACCTCTGGAGAATGCAACACATCCATAATGAGGGAGTTGGATCATGCGATCAAGTCGATTGTCATTGAGACAGAGACAGACCCAGTGTTCGAGCAGTTCCTCCTGGAGACTATTGGCCAGGAGATCGAGGGGGAGATCAGTCCCGATGAGGATGGGGCTTGCAGTCCGAAGGGGCAAGACGTGCAAGGAGGTTCAGGAGAAACTGCCAGCAGTGTTGATGAGACTCCTGAAAATGATCCTGAAGAAGGGAATCAAGGAGAACCACAGAATCCAGAAATCGTTGGAGATGTTGGGGACAGTGTTCAGGGGCAAGTGAAGGAGTCTCTCCCATCGATTTCAACTGATCCCCCAGTTGAGAAGGATCTCGCTGCCCTGGACGACGTAAATGCAGAAGCAATCCTCAGCATTATAAATGTTAACACGTCGAAGGAGTTGAATCAAGAAAAGTCGATTCCAGAACCTGAGATCCAGGAAATTCCGCCAGCTCCAGCTGTTCCAGTGGCCCCAGACCCAGAAATCGTAATGGAGAGCGGCATACCTCAGGCAGAGTCGAAACCCAAGAGAAAGAGAGCCCCAAAACAGAAAAAGGAGAAGAAACATTTGACTCCCAAGAAAGACGTGCCAGAGCACGAGCTGGTGCCAGTGCCAACTCTGATCATGTGCTCTCAAGAGGAGATAGACAGCATGAAGATTCCAGTGGTCAGACCCAAATCCCAGTACGTGCCAATAATGCCAAAGACCCCAGGCATGATGATGCAGTCTGACCCCACTCTCTACCTGAGGACTGTCAACGTAGTCAGATCCAAACCTGCACCTGAAGCCCCACCATTGCCATCTTCTCGTAATCTCCAGTCTCTCAGAGTCCCAGAGCCAGTCGTTACAAACCCTCATCTCTCTAAAGACCTCGAGATGATGCCAGAATCATTACGCCTGAGCGAATCAATCACCCTTTATGGTCCAGAGAGTGGTGCAGCTGTGGTGGAGGCAGATCTCCCATCAGTCCAGCTGGAGGAGTCTATGAGCCTCACAGGAACCGGATTATCCCCATTTTTGAAGCTGCACAAAAGACCAGAAGCCCCTCAAGAACCAAATCCACCCGAAAATGGAGTGAATGAGGAGGACAGGAGATTAAACTGTCAGGCGAACGCTGATATCCTGATGAAGAGAACCCCCAGATCCATCATGAAGAGCAGATCGAGAAACCACAGGCTGAGCTTGTCAACCCCAAGGAGACGAAGTAGTCACATACGAGCTCTCGACTTCAACACTCCAACGAAGGGCCTCAATACCAGCAGAAGACTTAGCGATGCTGACAAGAGCTGTGGGTTCTCCCCAAAATCGTCGAAAGGGTTGTCCAAGGCCTGCAGGACTAGTCTCTTCAAGTCTCCGCCCTTCGGGGGTAGCCCTTCGCCCAAGAAGAAAGGGAAGACTCCCAGTAAACTCTGCAAAGGGAAGATACCGATAGCCACTAGGAGTCCAGCTCCAAAGTTGATTGGGGGATGGGACAAAATCGCTGGGGTTGGAATGATCATCGACGGGGCCTCCCAGTCCAGTTGTCCATCTCCAGCGAAGAGCTCTATCAATACAACACCTGTACCTGAGATAAAAAGACCCTGGGATTCTGATCTGAGGATGAAAGTGGCTGCTGACGTCCAGCCAGTGGAGCAGAATCTACCGAAGAAGAAGGAGAAACCACTGAGGAGACGAAGAAGTCTCAGACAAGGGAGGAACGCTGATGGGGAGGTCATTGTCACTGATGATGAAGCTGACGGAGTTCCAGCAGCACCAGATCCTAAGGAGCAACAACTGAGTGGTAAATCCCCTGGAGAACCCCCAGAGAAACCTAAAGAGGACGAATCAACAGATAAAAAACCTGTCGAAGTAGTTGATGAGGAATCTGAACAGATAGAGATCGAAGTCTCCAAGAAAACCACAGAAATCATGACGAATACTTGTGAAGTTGTGACTGAGCAAGGGGTAACAAAGAAGTACGCGAAGTTGAAGACTCTGACGACGACTGTAACGAAAGTCGAGAGTAATAAGAGAGGAAAGCCTCAAACCCCAGGGGAGTCCCTTGAGAAGTCTTCAGAATTCGGGAGAATTGACCCCTCGAACCTGCTAGACCTGGAGACCCCTCGTAAATTCGATCCCAATCTAGTCCCACCGACTCCGAGAGTCCTCAGTCCCAACAGCAGCATGACGACCCCCTTCGCACAAATAAGTGAGGACTCTGGGAAGATCCAGAGCTTCGTGTCGACCCCAGAGTTCCCACCGACCCCTAGTATTAATCTAACCCCTAAACAGTCTAACGATGGCACAATGGATGACGGCAAAAAGAATTTTGGCTCCAGGTATTATCAACCTAGCAACGAGCTGAAGGAGACGAGGAGGAAGAATCAGACAGGGAATCCTGTGGCGATGATTTTGGAGGAGAGCGTCACAACGAGGATCAGCACTCAAGGGTTCCAGGCATCAACAGCTCAGCTGGAGATCACGCAGTTCGAGGTGATCAAGGGGAATTTGCCGAAGGAACAAGCAATCAAGGAGCTAAAGCTCTCGAGAACTCCTGACACTCAGATAAATAAAGAAGGTGCTGAACCTGAAACCCCAGGAGACACCCCAAGCAAATCGTCGAAGACGCTGGAGAGCAGTGGAACAGCTGACGATTCGTCAGACAGTGACAGTGACACATCCTCATCATCATCAGGCTCTTCGTCCTCCTGCTCCAGTTGTGACACCACCAACACTTCATCGAAGTTGTCGACGAGTAGAAAGTCCAGGAAGACCCCCCACAAAGTTGACGACAGCCACGACTTGACTCAAGAATCTCCATCAATTCTTGAAAATCAAGTAAAATCTGGGGTTGACGAACCGATGAGGAAAGCTGAGGTGTCGCCAGAGGACTCATCGAAGGAGAACATCGACTCCCAGAAGATGAACGAGGAATCGCCCACGAAGGTGATCCCCATCGCCAAAACAGAGGACACCCTCAAGGCGATTGACCTCGAAACCCCAGCCAAAGACGAGGGACTGCTGCCAGAAGCCGATATCTCAGAGACCCCCAGCAGCTCAAAGGCAGGAATCGAGAGCCTGACAAACTTGAACTCAAAGATATCAGCAATTATCAAAGAAGACGCAAAGCCCCGACTGTCAAGCTCACTCGTATCAAAACCAGTACCGAAGATTGTCTCCGTGCAGAACTTCTCGTCAGCAGTGAAGCTGAGAATAATGACAGAAGAAGAATCGGACAAGACCTTCATGGACGCTAAACTGGCGAGGGAGCTCGACGAGAAGCGTCTCCGAATGATCAATAAGATAAAATCAGACAATGCCCCAAGAACAAGAGGCAGTCGAACGAGGGAAAACGTCAAAGGAAGGACCCAGGAGCCTGTTCCCCCTGCAGTGAGACCCCAACAGCACCCAGAAGACCCACCGATGAAGCCAGAGAAATCTCAGCCCCTGAGGAAGTCCATGAGGAACGTTCAGAAAAGAGCGAAGAGAGGACTGAGTGAGCCCACAGAAACCACAACATCTGAGAAGATAGAACCCCCGAGGAAGGCGCAATCCTCAAGGGACTCCAGTGGAAATGACGATGAGAACCTCGAGATGATGATTCTCCCAGCAATAAATCCTCCAATCAATCCCCCAGCGCCCGATAAACTCGACCCGATACTCCCAAAGGATGAAGAGAAACTGGAAGACCAAAACAGCAAAAAAGAAAAAGATCTGATTGTCGACGACAAGAGAGAGGAGACGAAGGTGAAATCGAAGGTGGACCTGGTGAAGCGAGATTTATTCAGTGACGAAGAGAACACCGATGGCAAGCCAGCAGACTCAAAGCCCAGAAAATTACCAGAAGCTCAAAAAGTCGAGAGTGCTGACTCTGCAGAATCGAAGCAGCAGAATGGAGAGTCTGGGGAGCTTCCAGGTGTCCTCGAGAGTCTCCAGCTAGTCCCCACGAACAAGAGCTTCGAGGAGGCAGACCTGGACGTCGGGACGTACGAGCACATAGAGATCTCCTTCGTATACGACGAAAATCAGCCGAGAAGAAAGAGAAAGAAGAAACTGAGCTCCTCAGACCTGGAGATGAGAGTGCAGGTGTACACTTGCACTGGGGAGGTTGTCTGGAAGAATATGACGAGCACTCCACACGAGGAGATCTTCAACCTGAATCCTCCCAGGAAGAAGAGGGTCAATCCACCGAAGTCGAAGGTGACTAAGGAGAAACCTGTGACGACAGTGGTAGCTCCCAAGAGAAAGGGAAAGCCACAACTGAAGAACAGTGAGTCTGTGGTCTCGGAGATCAAGAGTCAGCCTCTGGCCACGTCGTCCCCTGTGAGCAAGGAGGAGCCCTCGAAGACCGGGGAGAAGGTGAAAGCTGGAGGTAAAAGCAAACCGGAGGATAAAGCCTCGAAGCCTAGAAAGAGGAAGCAATCAGAGGGCAGGGACGATCACGTGGAGAAGAAGCCTCGAACGACCGATCCTGCAGCTCTCCTCAGTGGAGTAAATATCAATAAACTTCTTAATGTAGTCCACGGATCAGAGTCGTAGGGCAATCGGGGGGTCATGAAGGATGTAAAGCCAGGGGAGATGCGTCAAACAGTGCAAAGGATGTACTAGAACTAGATCTTTGTGAAAGTGGTTATTTCATTACGATGAAGAAATGCTGAGCATTTGTGTTTCATAATCTCAACCACGTGTTTAAAGTAGTTAACTTTTAAAGTATGAAGTATTATTGCCTAATGCTGGTGAAGACTGACTAAGTGGCAACCTGCTGGGTCACGTTGTGTATTGTACAGAAAAAAAGTGTTGAAGTTACTTATTTCTGCATAACTGACTATTTTTATGATAGGTAAATATCAGATGTAGTGAGTGATAATTTAACTATTAACGTTTTTTATACGAGAAAAATAAAATACATACCTGATCATGGGAGTATTTAATTCGATTTCATCAGCAGATAGTAATTATTGATATTTATTAATTATTGAGGGTAACCAAGAATTTGGGAAATCGATGGAAATTCAGCTTTCTATTTATTTATTAAATACCTTCATTACTCACGTTTTCCAAAAGGCGAGAAAAAATCGGAGGAAAAATTATAGACTACATTAGTCATTTATGAATTACGAATAGAGGATTGAAAATAAATTCGAGTAATTAACCAAAATTTAGGTATTTATTTTCATTACATGTTGAATTTATTACAAACGTGAAAGTTCATGATTATATCATGAAAAAATGAACATAAAGTAATGGAAGAAAATGTAAACTAACGAACATATTCATTAGTTCCCTGACTTGATCTTGACGACGTCCTCAACCTCGTTGATGATCGTCATGAGCTCGGTGAATTGTGGAAGGCCCATTGAAACACCTGATTCAGAAATAAACGTAAATTGTTAATTTTCAATTCCACATTTATTATTTTTATTCAAAAACACCATTGACCCATTCATTGTTTCATTACCTTTCTTCGTTGGTTTCATCTCGCCTTCCTTCTCGTAGTACTCTCGAATGTCGACGTAGAGTTTGCCCTTGAAATGACGAACCGTGACCCTCTTGTTGTTTCCAAGCTCCCAGTGAGGCTCTTCCTCGTTGGCTTTGCTCGATCCCTTTGTCTTCTTGCTGGACTCTGCTGTCTCCTCTTTATCCTTCGACTTCTCAGTCCTCTGCTTCTTCTTTGGCTTCTCGTCCTGTGGATGTTCGTCAATTTTTTAATTTTAATTAATTCATGCTCACGATGAAATGGAAAATAATTGTCGTTTTCATCTATTATTCAACATGGGAATAAAATGGTGAACATTACCTCACTGCTGCTGTGGCTGCTGGCATCAGAGGATGAGTAATCCTTGTTCTTTGGCATGTTGTAGCAGTAGATCGAATCTAAATCTTCACTCCAAAGACTCTGGTACTTGTCACTGTTGTCTGATGAAAATTTAAAACAAAATGGATTATCTCATTATTTTCGTGGCGTCCAAAGTAGGTTAGGATCAACGAGTCCTTATCGATTCGCTTTCATCGTGACAATATGAAATAATTAATCATCAGGATGTTGTGAACTTACGGGAGGCGAAGCCGGATGTTATTCCCTGACGAATTGAGGGGAAATAAAGCAGTAATTTACACCGAACAGTTAATGAACGTAACGAAAAACCGGCAGAGATCATGTACGCAGGGAAAATGAGATGCACAAGAAACAAATGAGCGATGGCGGCAGCATTTGGCGGTTCGGCCACTGGTGCTGATTGGATAGTCGATTATGGCGGAGAGGGGTTACCCAATGGGGTTATGCAGGAGAGCAATTCAAATATGATTGAAGGTAACGATAAATTGTGTATTTATATAGATAATGTCACGCACTAAATCTAAGGAAAACTCTTTTATAGAAAAAATCAGAAGAATTTTGTTTTTCTATGCAATTTTTTCCGATATTTTCTTCAGAAATTGCTCCACATGAATTTTCTAGGTGTTTTTCATTCTATTTTTCTTCTCTTTTAATTAAAATCATTGAATAAAAATTAGGTTGTAATGACAAGCAAAATTCTATTGATTTTTTCCATCAAATATTTTTCGCTGCGGAATTTCTCAATAAAATTGGTCAACAACTAGTTAAAAATTTAATCGAAATTTAATAGAAGTTTCTCAATACTTCTACTGCGTGTGTACGACACCTCCAAGATCTACCCTATCGTCTTAGGGTCTTGAGGTTTTTACAGGCCTTAATTGGGGTCCAATCAGGGGATTTCACATGAAAGAATTGATTAATTAAGAAGCTTTCTCATTAAACGATGCTTAATCCACAAATTTATTCCCCATTTTATTTACAATTATCACCACAAATTTCGAGAAATGTTCGACATTCATGATGATGGAACATAATTACACATAGCAGTCCCGTAAAACGTCTCCTCATGTATTCTTAATAAGAAAGATTCATGATTCACATGTATTTTATTTATCACTGCTGGATATTGTCTGTTAAGCGCAGAATTCTGTGCACGAGAGAATCATCAACTCACAATCAGTAGCGAAGTGGTCAAACGGTTCAAGTCAATTTAGTCTTTAGTTGAGTTTTCTAGAAATATTTCCGAATTTAAGGAAGATAGCGAAATTTTCATAATAACCTTTTTTGTAGAGCGAATTGAGTGCTACTAAAACGGTCATGCGAAAAATTTTGCTATCTCCCTTAGATTTCGAGATATTTATTGAAAACTGGCCAATTGACCTCTTCGCGATTGAACTGAATTCCCTTAAAATGAAACTCGTATTTTTTCATTTTCAGTCACTGTCATCGGCATTCCGCGGGGCTCGTGTGAGTGGTCTCCTGCTGTCCTCATCGGACCCATAAATCACTTCTTCGTCTGAATCGTTGATCATCGAGAATGCGGGATTGTCTTTCGTTATCGATGAATCTGCAAAAATCAGAGGCCCTTCATAGCTATGCTGTTTGTGGAATAATTGTTCAATCGTTAGGTACGTGGATTCATCCTTACGTTGACCGTAAACCTGCTGAATCCCCGGTGAATACACGTAGGCCATCGTGTAAAGGTAAAAATTCAACAGTCCATAAAGTGCCATAAATTGCGCTGACGTTCTGTAATACGTGGACAATCGTGATGCAAAACTGTCCTCGAGGACACCAGCACCGAACTGTCTGGCTGTCACCAGGGCACAAACTCCTGCTACGATTACAGCAAGTAGTGTTAAGAAGCGTAAACGAAGATCTGCAAGAAAGCAAAGTGGTAAGAACTCAAGTAATTTTCATTCACTTTTTCGGTTTCTCAAGAAAAATCATCATGAGAAGAATTCTTTTGGAGAATTCTTGTGCTGAGCACCGTAAACACGGCGTGATGTGCACACTTGGAAAAATTCCCCTGCTGCATGAAAAAAAAATCTTGCACGACTCTTTAAGCAAGTGCCATTATTTATTTATAAATAGAAAATTTTGTAGAATTATCCTAATATAATTGGAGTGATATTCATTAGGCAGGAATTACTTGAAATTTTTTTCTTTCAATTTAGAACTACACTGTTAAGAACATTTGGCTGAATTTTCCGGAAAATAAACTTGTTGTTGATTTACGGGAAAAAAGTCAATGGAATTTCAAGTTTTGCGATTTATGATGAATTTTCAAGTGAAAATGATTATTCACTGCGAAATTTCCTTGATTTTTTAGGGAATTTTTCAAAAATTCTGGGAATCGTGAGAATTTTCCTGATTTTTCAGTTCGCACGGATTTTTCCATGAAAATAGGAATTTCCAATGATAAAATTCCTTGAAATTTCAGTGAAAATGTTACTCGTTAAAAATTTCAAAGACTCTTACCTGACAAGTGCATTTCAATTAACGTGCAAGTCGTGTTATCGAAAATTCCTTAGAATGGAATCTAAAATAATGAAAAACGATGAAAAATTAATATTCACCGAAATATGGCATGGAACGCAGTTCACTGTAAGCCCGAAGCATCAGCAGTGCGAGATATGCGATGTATATACCCCCGACAGTGAAGAAAAATACTTTTAATCCCTGAAAATTAAAAACGCTAATCAAGCCCCCTTCATCTCTTCCATAATCGATGAACTGGTTGAGTCATCCAAGAATGAATAATATTACATAGTAGTTAGACGTATCGAGGACGTAATTGTACGTTGGATCCTCGAGTTCCGTGCACCTGAGCCAGGTAGCGAGGATGAGAGCCGCCACCCAGAGGCACCCAATCACCAGGAACTTTGGTAGATAAAACGTGGCTAGTTTTCGCTCATTCTGCGTAGCAAAAAAAAATATTGAATTGGATCAGACATTGATGAGTGTGACGAGCTGATTTACCTGACGTAATCCGTGATAAACACACAGCCAGAACATGAGAATGGCACAGAGGAATGTTGTTTGCATTATGGCATCTAGCATCCCTGGTACCCAGGAATTGAATAAGAAAATCAGCGGAAATAATGGATCTGAAAAGCACAGAAATATTTTTAAAAAATTGAAAACCCTACCGATTTCTCTAAGAAATTCTATAGAATTTTAACTAGAATTTCATTTTTAAAAATAATCTATTTGTTTTCTACGCTAATTATTATTAAAAAATAGAATGAGTTACATAAAATTCAATAAAATTTCCACAAAAACTAGCAGAATTACTTAAAAGGAAATTTAACAGCAATCCAATAGAATGTTTTATAGAAAGAAATTTTTCTATCCAATTTATCCATACGTTATCTCACATGGATTAATTGAATTGATCTGAGATAATTACTGTTGTAGAGTATCAATAATGGAAGTAGTATAGAAATCCATTTTTGCTCGATGGACCAGTCTGTCACAGGATATTTCCTCAAGGAATGTCCAAACCAGCACTAAAAACATCAATATTACGCATTAATTTCGGACTCTTCCTCTAATCTTCTGCATTTCATTAAATTAATTTAATTAATTCCTGGATAACTACCGTTACGACGAAGGCAGCCAGCAGAAAAATCAGCCTGAACCAGATTTCAATCTGCGTGAAGGCCGGATTGTAGTTCTTAAACTGTTTCAAACAAAAACTTTTCTGTTTATCTTCAGAAAAACGCAATCCCTCGATTAATCATAATGCTTACTGACGTAGAACGTGAGGTCTCGGATGGTGTAGCGCTGATGGAAGCCCTCAAGCCCGTAAAAACGAACGGTAATCATATAATGAGTATAATCTAAAGAGCCTAGATGAGCTACAACAAGTTCTTCGCAGGACTGACGCTCGCATTTCAAATGTCTCGTCCTGAAAATCACATTTCCATTAAAAATGGCTTTGAAATTGCTCTGATCAGTGGAGGTATTTTCATTACCTGTTGTGACCGGATTCCGACGAGAGGATAGACACGAGTTTCTCTTCTGGACTGATACCATCGATGGAAACACTCACTTGAAATGTTTTATCGTATCTTTCATCTAGTGGTAATGATAATTAATCAATTAATTAACGACCTGAGGATTAAAATCAATTGATTGAAAATAAACCCCCGGGGATACTTCATTAATTAATGAATGAATAAATAAATTAATGAATGAATTAATTAATAAACTCTTTGCAGAATTATTTCATCGAAATGATTGATCAACTTTTTTGTTTATTCGCTAATAAATTAATTCTCCGAATAAATTCCTTCCCGTAGTGTTTGCAAAAATCATGGCTACATAATCACCCAAGTAATTAATGACCTGACGATTTAATTTATTTATTTGAGGATAATTTCATGGAGATAATTCATCAATTACATGATGATTAATTGTCTTAAGACAATTAATAAATTCTTTGGCGGACGATTCCATCCAAATGAGTGATTAATGAATTATTTAATGACTTATAATTGGATAATAAATTAACTCTTTGAGTAAATTTCCTCCTGAAGTGTTGACAAAAATCATGACAACATAATTACCATCAGTATTCGCAGTAGAGAATTTAGCAATGACCCACAACTGCTGGCTGTACGTTGACAGCGCTGGGGTCTTCATGATAAATGGACCAGTGGCCATATCGCTGCCATTCAGCCGTGCCCTGTGCTCAGTGGTCGAGGTAATAGGCGGCCCAGCTAGTCCAATGAACACCGCTAATCCAAAGCACGCGAAGAAAGCCACGAACACCATAACGAACTCTCGTTTGTGCATAGAATAGAGACGCATTGGCACTGACCTGTGGACCAATGGAGCATCGTGAAGAAATGGATTTCAATTACGAATTAATGCAGATAACTTCACCTTTCACATCTGTCATGGTGATAAGCTGGAGCGATGTACTTGTTGAATTCACTGAATAAGTCACTGAACTGTGTCAGGGCATTCCTGATCTTCAGGCTCCATCCACCTGAGGGTAAGTGGTAGGAGTAACCCAGCCCTGGACCTTCCATTGTCGACGTTTAGGGTCTAAACGAATTTGCAATTGTCATTTTAACGTTAATTAATTCGCAGAAGTTTTTTTCCATTTGAGTAGGGGAGAATGGGGTAAAATGGACACCTTAGACTTTTTTAAAATTATTCGTAACTTTGAAACAAATTCATCAATTGAGCTCGGTTTAGGCTCATCACAAAGGGAAGGAATTCTTTTTTTCATTACAAAAAAACCTATTTTATTTTATGGACTTTTGAATTCGTCATTAACATGAAAAAAAAAGTCAAATGTGTCGATTTTACCCCATTCTCCCCCATATTTTATTTTGCATAAACGGTTTAGTTCCTTTTGAAGATTGTTGTCGGATAGCGAGGGAGTGCCAATATGCGAATGAAATGTGTGGAAAACATACCTTTCTCGTCGAATTGTTCAGCTGAGTCTCAGATTTTTCGGTTGTATACAACTAATTGATGGGAAATCATCGTTTCTCATGTTTTTGCTATCGCGTATCATCGACGTATTGGGGAACGAGTTTTCAATAAATACAGAGTGATATAGAGTAGCTGGAGCCCCGGTTATTGATTTTCGCGCCCCACACCCTTCGGAATCCTCCACACATGCGCCCTTCGTTGTTCATTCAAAACATGTTGAAGAATTCAAGAGAAAAAAGTGTAGAAAAAATATGCGGAGAATCTCGAATTCTGAATAATTTTGTATTCACCCAGTCGTCAATAAAAAATTCAAAATATGCTGAGGAATTCAAGAGAAAAAAGTGTAGAAAAAATATGCGGAGAATCTCGAATTCTGAATAATTTTGTATTCACCCAGTCGTCAATAAAAAATTCAAAATATGCTGAGGAATTCAAGAGAAAAAAGTGTAGAAAAAATATGCGGAGAATCTCCAATTTTGAATAATTTTGTATTCACCCAGTCGTCAATACAAAATTTAAAACATCTTGAGGAATTCAAGAGAAAAAAGTGTAGAAAAATATGCGGAGAATCTCCAATTTTGAATAATTTTGTATTCACCCAGTCGCCAATACAAAATTTAAAACATCTTGAGGAATTCAAGAGAAAACAGTCTAGAAAAAAATGCAGAAAATCTCCAATTCTGAATAATTTTGTATTCACCCAGTCGTCAATACAAAATTTAAAACATCTTGAGGAATTCAAAAGAAAAAAGTGTAGAAAAAATATGTGGAGAATCCCCAATTTTGAATAATTTTGTATTCACCCAGTCGTCAATACAAAATTTAAAACATCTTGAGGAATTCAAGAGAAAAAAGTGTAGAAAAAATATGCGGAGAATCTCGAATTCTGAATAATTTTTTATTCACCCAGTCATCAATACAAAATACTTCCTGTCCCTCCTTCATTTAACAGCACACACTTATGTACACAAAGCTATATACAGTATAATCCCATTAAAGATCTAATCCCAGTACTTGATCTTGCCATCCCAGCCAGCAGTAGCCAGCCTGGAAGGTTCATGAGGATGCCACAAAACCGAGATACAAACCCCATCATGTGCCTTCCACTTCTTATAAAGTTTGGTGGTCTTCCAGTCCCAGCAGTAGGCCTTGCCATCAGCATCCCCAGATACCAAATAGCTCATATCAGGTGAGAAGTCCAGTCCACAGGCATACCCAGCCACCATATGCCCAGTGAACGTCTTCTTCCTGTTCATCTTGAACCTGTTCAGCGCCGAGAAAATGACAATCTTATTATCCATGCTCTGGCAAGCCAGCCACTTCTGATTGGGCGAGGGAGTGACAGCCGGCATCGAGTGCATGGTGGGATCGGCGATGTACTTCATGTCCACAGGTATGTCCCACTCCCAGACCCTGAGACTCTTGTCATCGGAGGTCGTGACGAACCTTCTGTTCTCATCCACAAAAGTTATGGAGTTGACAGCCCCCAGATGTCGATCGTACTCCTGAGTGATCTCCCCCGATCTCGTGTCCCAGCAGATGATCTTCTTATCGCTGGTGCCAGCAACGAAAAGATGCTGCTTGTCCGAGTCAGGATTGAACTTGACACAATAGGGAATTTTTCTGCTGGTGAATCGAGAGATGCAGGCGCCAGTCTCAGTGTCCCAGAGCTTGACGTAGCGATCGTACCCAGCGGAGAGGAACCTCTTCCCATCGTTATCGAAGCTTATGTCTCGAACAGCCTGCCGATGGCCATAATAAGTCCTGACACACCTTCGCTCCTTGTATACCTCCCAGAGTTTAACTCTGCAGTCCATGCTGCAGGACAACAGCAAATGCGCAGTCTTGGGGAACCATTTGATCTGGGAGATGCCTTTTGTGTGCCCCTCCCACGTGTGGATCTGGGATTTCGGGAGGAAACAGCGCTCTGGGGGGGACTCCGAGCGCAGGTTCACACCGACGTCCTGAGGGGGGTGGAGGAACGATCGGCCCTGGTAGTCCACTGGGTCCTTTATGTGGAGGACTGTCTTCTCCTCGAGGGGTTTCTCCTCCACTTGCTTTCCACGTTTGTTGCGCTTGGCGAGGATCTCCTCCAGCTCGGAGGCCTCCTCGTCAGTGGGCTTGGACACTCGCTGCTCGTCTATGTAGCCACCCCAGGGCCCCAGGAAACCCTCGATGTCGTCTGGATTGTTGTTACGACGTCGCTTTCGTTTGTCTGCTTCACGGAGTGCTGTTGTTTCGAATACTGTCTTGCCACCGGTGCCTTCTGCTGCCTCGGTGGCTCCTATCATTGTCTTTCCTTCTTCTGAGGTGCCGTCCACTGTTGGGTCCAGAGCGTAGCCTGGGGAAAAGGGAGAATAATTAGGTTTGCGAGGATTTTTTGGGAGAAAGTGGAGGGGTAGGAATCGGAAATTGTTTTGAGGTGTTTGGATCCAAAGAATAGGAGGAATAATGGATTTTTAAGGAGATTTAGGGGTACGATGGACTATTTAAATTGGCTGTAACTTGAGAATGGCAGAGTGGAATTGAACTATTCTTCTTTCATTTTCAAGGAATTTTTCAGGCTTCAAAATGATATCTGATTCATCCAAATCGTATCATTTCATCGAGAGATATTTCCAAATTATCAATAGATAATTTGGAGAGGGTAATTTTATAACACCCATTCATTTTATTCTGTTGAATGAAAAAGAAAATGACTTAACTTTATAGAGATAAAAGTTACAGTTTGACATGTTTATGAAAAAAATGTCAAACTTACATTAGTTCATGTATTTAAATATTTGGGGGCCCAGGGATCACAAGGATTGAACATTTGGGGATAAAATCTCCTGTTCAACGTGTTCCTGACATTCTTATTTATACTAGAAAACTTACCATAACTTTGGAACGTTCTCCTCTGATTCTCAAACTGAAATTCACTGATATGCGCCTTTTCCACGAATCCCGACAGCATATTCTTGGTAGCACGCTGCTGTTGAGTCCTGAAAGGGTTCTCAGGGCCAACATCAGGGGCAAACAATTCCTCGAACTTGGGATTGTGTTTGATCTCAACTGCTGTTGAATCCACGTGGTGAACACACAGTTCTGTGCCCTGGAAACATTTTTCAGCATAATTTATGTTTGGAGAATTATTGGAATAACAAGAAGCATAACCTCAAACATAATGACATCAATAACTACGGATTCTGGGTCGAAATGAACTTACAGTGGGCACAACTTCGGGTGCAGCACAAATCTGGAGCGGAAGAGTCGTCACTGGTTTGTTAATTGGAATAATTGGTGCTTCAGGAGAGTTTTTACGTGGCTTACTCCCATTCTTAACCTCAATCTGGGCTTTAATTGGTGGAATATCATCCTCGGGGCCACTATTATCGTCACTACTGCCGTATCCCTGCAGCGCCAGCATTTTGACTGCACTTGGTGTCAATTAATATCTCATAAAATCACGAAAATAAACTATTAAATGTGAATAACATTCAGAAAACGTTTTGGAGGTAGTTTTTCTCAAAGTTGCATCAACACCACAACAACAAAATGAAAGATGGACGGTGGGTTTTAACCAGTCCTACCACCACAACTTCCAGGAATTCCGTTGGGCATTTAATGAGCCAGAGGTGGGGGAATAGCAGCAGTGCCTGTTGTCAAGCCCATCGAATTTCGTGGGCAGATATTTCACGGTGAATTTATTGCAAAAATGGTACGTAATCGAGCAAAAATGTAGTTAATAATATGAAGTATTAGCGGTAGTGTCTTGAGTCCTTGAGCATTGAAGAAAACCACTGGTTTAATTTTGGAGTAGATTTTATTGCAACCACCCTTACATCAGGTTACGTGCCAGGATGATTTATTTATCTGTCATTTACTGCAATCAGCGATTCTCCTGCCCCAGAGGCTTCTCCTCAATTCCATTCACTTCAGATATCTCTGATTTTTTATCGGGATGTGATCCAATTCGGAGTTGAGATCAATTTAATTTTATTCTTAGACCCTACGTCCCTTCCTCCCTCGCCCTAGGGCGCTAGAAATTTTTTGTTTAATTCCCTTTTAATTTTTGATTGGAACCCATTGGAAATAATTGGAGTGGATATCAATTCATTCCGGAATTGCGATCGATTCAGTTTTATTCCTCAGACCCCTCCCCTCCCCCCTGCAGTGATAATAATGATTTGAAGTTTAAGTAACAGCGTCATGTGAATTTGGAATATTACGAATTTTAATTCAATTTAAAACCGAATTTTTCATGGAAATTCTTAATTTAATTAAATAAAAAAAATTCTCTTTAATGAGATTGAAGAGAATTTTTCATGGAAATTCTTAATTTAATTAAATAAAAAAATTCTCTTTAATGAGATTGAAGAGAATTTTTCTTGGAAATTCTCAATTTAATTAAATTAAAGAAAATTCTTACAATAGGCCATCATCCGATGGCCCTCAGCCAATGGAAATTCTGATTTATTTTGGCAAATTCAAGAAAAATTTCAAACTTTTTTTGCTTAAAATCTCAAGAGTAATTTCCCACCAGTATAATTGCTCGGTAATATTGCTTGGTAATATCCTGCATTCTATAGCTAGTGCATGAGAAATTTAACATGGCTTAAACCCTAGCATGGCCACCACGTATTCTCTGCTAGGTATCTCTGTTCTTCTCGCAGCCAATGACTCCAGTTATGACGGGCCTGGAGGAGCAGGAGAAACTCCTGGAGGACGCCATTGGAGTTGTCAAGGTCCAGGCGTTCCAGATGAAACACTGCTTGGATAATGCCAAGCTCATGGACGCCCTCAAGCATGCGTCTACGATGTTGGGGGAGCTGAGGACGTCGCTGTTGAGCCCCAAGAGCTACTACGAATTGTGTATCCTTTTTTATCAATTTCTTTTGCCTTTTTCTCATTCTCATATTTTCGTTCTTCTTTAACGTGATTCCGGGAATTTATTATTTTACCTTAATCCATTGATCGATTAATTAGACATGGCAATCACCGATGAACTTCGCCATTTAGAACTTTATTTACTGGATCAGTATCAAAAGGGGAAGAAAGTCACTGATCTTTACGAATTGGTTCAGTACGCGGGGAATATCGTACCTCGTCTGTAAGTAAATGAATGAATCAGGTAAAATTACCTATCTGCAATCAACAGATTTTAAAGAATTTCAGAGAATTCCCCAAATCACACTGAATTTTCAATTAATTGATAATTTAACAATATATTCACCTGAATTATTCCGATTTATGTGAATGTTCATAGAATAATTGAATTGAAATTCACAGCTTCCATCGATTTTTCAATGAAATTTTTAATCCTCAATGGAGAAAATCCTTGAAATTTCTTTCTTTACAACTAAAATGTGGCAGAAATTTCCAAGAAGGGTACCCTAAATTTAAGTAAAAAATTTTAATCAATCCTCGTCCCCTCTTCTGTAAAATTAACGAGTTGATTGTCATTCTTTGCTATTTACATTTAATCCGAGATTCATCTTCGTTCTATTGACTAATCTAAAAAACTCAATATGTGCACCCGTTCGATTTATCCTGAATTATGACCTCTTTAAATACAACAATATTCTAGAAGCGAAGGGAGTCATCAAGCATCAAATGACTCTGTTCCAGGTATTTACTAATAACCGTGGGATTAGTCTACATTAAAACCAATCCCTGCCTGAAGAGAGATTTGCTCCGCGACCTGGTGGAGATGTGTCGAGGTGTGCAGCACCCCCTGCGCGGTCTCTTCCTCCGGAATTACCTCCTCCAATGCACGAGAAATATCCTGCCAGACGCCCCCGAGGGTGACGACGAGGAGGGAACTGTTCGCGACAGCATCGACTTCGTCCTCATGAACTTTGCTGAGATGAATAAACTGTGGGTGAGGATGCAGCACCAGGGCCACAGCAGAGACAGAGAGCGAAGGGAGAGGGAAAGAGAGGAATTGAAGATCCTAGTTGGGACTAATCTGGTGAGACTGAGCCAGCTGGAGTCGGTGACTCTGGAGATTTACAAGAGGCTTGTGCTCCCTGGGATTCTGGAGCAAGTCGTCAGCTGCAGGGATGCCATAGCTCAGGAGTACCTCATGGAGTGCATTATCCAAGTATTCCCCGATGAATTCCATCTGCAGACGTTGAATGCATTTTTGAAGTCCTGTGCTGAGCTGCATAATGGGGTCAACGTCAAGAATATTATAATTTCATTGATCGATCGATTGGCGACTTTCAGCCAGCGATCTGATGGGGTTGGAGGCCCTGGCAGCCCCAGCCAGGTACCGGGAATACCTCAGGATGTCAAGTTGTTCGATGTCTTCAGTGATCAAGTTGCTACGATTATTCAGGTAATTTCAAGAAATGAAGTAAATCAATTCACTCAATTCATCAAGTTAAATTAATTGGGGATGTGACTATTCTGTGATGATTGGATACTACACAATCCATTGATAAAACCCCCAATGATGTCAAAATTAAACTTAATTATCTTTACTCATCAAGTTTAAGTCTGAGAATAGCCTCCCCAGTAATTTCCGTGAAAATAACTAGTTGTTGTCGCTGCAAAGTCATTATCTCTCGGGTTAATGATTAAAAATGACCCGTTAGAGCGAGCAGAATCGAGCAGATAAAAGAATTGGGGTCGTTTTGAGTGGAATGCAAGTTCTGTGCAGTCGGTCTTGCTCTTCGTAGCGTGACAGTTCTGCTACTGACTCTTGTTCTTGTTTGATTTAGACGCGTCAGGACATGCCACCTGAGGACATAGTATCCCTCCAAGTGGCGCTGATAAACCTAGCCCACAAGTGCTACCCTGATCGTGTGGATTACGTCGATAAAGTATTATTTACAACAGTTCAGATATTCCAGAAGTTGAATGTCGAGAAGTAAGTCTACGAACTTTTTTTATAATCAATATTTTTTATGCGTATTGTATATTTTCATGTACATAAAATATTGTGTTTAATTTTACATGTACAAATATTTCTACTCTTATGCATATTGAGTCATAAAAAGAACAATTCAGTAGCGAAGTGGTAAAACGGTTCAAGTCGATTTTGACTATTGGCCAGTTTTTAGTGAATATCTCGGAATCTGAGGGAGATGGCAAAATTTTCGTCAATACCTTTTTTGTAGCACTCACTTTGATCTATAAAAAAGCTTCTCACGAAAATTTCATTATCTCCTTTAGATTCGAAGATATTCTTCTAAAACTCTAAACTAATTGTCCAATTCAATGATTCAGATTGGAATACAACAGCGCAGTATCGAGAGAGCTCTCTCGCCTGATGAAAATCCCAGTGGACAACTACAAAAACATCCTGACGGTCCTAAAACTCGAGAACTACGCTCCCCTCCTCGATTACTTCGACTACGAAGGGAGAAAGCTTCTCGCAGTCTACATAATAACGAACATCCTTGACAACGAGACCCTGATCCCGACGCAAGAGCTAGTGGACGCAGTGCTATCAGTGGTGTCGCCCCTCGTCCAGGACCAGCCAGACCAGCCGAGCATCGAGGAAGACCCCGAGGACTTTGCTGAGGAGCAAGGCCTCCTGGGGCGTCTGATCCACCACTTCAAATCCGACACAGCTGACCAGCAATACATGATCTTGAGTGCAGCGAGAAAGCACTTCTCAGCAGGTGGCAACAAAAGGATAAAGTACACTCTTCCTGCCATTGTCTTCCAGGCTTATCAGCTGGCTTTCACTTACAAAGCTCTGAAGGACCAGGATGAGATGTGGCAGAAGAAGTGCCAGAAGATATTTCAGTTCTGTCATGCGACGATAACAGCCCTGATGAAGGCAGAGCTCGCTGAATTGCCCCTGAGGCTGTTCCTCCAGGGGGCACTTGCCATCGGGGAAATTCGATTCGATAATTTTGAGATGGTGGCTTACGAGTTCATGAGCCAGGCATTCTCCATTTATGAGGATGAGATCAGCGACTCCAAGGCTCAACTGGCAGCAATCACTCTGATTATTGCGACGTTCGAGCAGATGAGCTGCTTCAGCGAGGAGAATGCAGAGCCTGTGAGGAATCAGTGTGCACTGTATGCCAGTAAATTACTGAGAAAGCCTGATCAGTGCAGGGGAGTCGCCACCTGCTCCCACATATTCTGGTCGGGGAAGTCGTTGGCCACTGGGGGAAAAGAGATGCAGGATGGAAATAAAGTTCTGGACTGCCTCAAGAAGGGAATCAGAATTGCCAGCCAGTGCATGGATACTTCTGTGCAGGTGCAACTTTACGTGGAACTACTGAATCATTATATTTATTTTTACGAGAAGGAGAATTCACCGGTTACTGTCCAGATACTGAATCAAGTTATTGCCAAGATCAAGGAGGAACTTCCGAATTTGGGGGTGAGTGAGGAGACTGAACAGATTCAGAAGCACCTGGCCAACACTCTGGAGCACCTGAAGAACAGAATGAGGTATTCTGATTCGCAGGGGCAACCCTATCATGGGCTTGTACTGTAATTTTGTGGAGAGTGCAGATTTTCGTAATTTGTATTTGTAATTTTGTAAATATTGGGGGTACGTTTCGACTCAGTTTTTCCACTGATTTGTAAATTTGATTGAATTTATCGTGAATTTGTAGAATTAACGTGAGGAACAGATACTGTCCATGGGCATACATAATTTACAGTGATTGAGAGGGGAACGAAATTGATTAATCATGTGAATGTGCAATTTTTATCATGAAGAGGTGATTTTGACGGTTTTTAGGTCAATTGTCACAAGCGTTTGACGAGCATCGATTTGAAATTTTTTTCTATAAGTTATTATGAAGTAAAAATGAAGGAATGTATTATCTGTATATTTGTTACAAGGAAACACCATTTGCAAAATTAACAAAACCCTTTTTATTCTCCTCGTCATTAAAAAATGTCTCTCCAGCCTCAACAGAGAATCAAAACTCCATGGTACTCATCTGTGCCTCTCTGTCCAGCTTCCTGGCGTCCTCCATTGCCCTCAAAAACTCTTGGAACAGGTGAAGAGATTTATTCATACTGGTCTTCTTGTAGTCTTTGATCTTCCTGGCATTCTCAAGTCCCCCTTCCACGGTCTTGTCCTTCTCGTCGTAAGCATTGATCTCATCAATCAGAGCATTTATCGTTGGAACTGTCAAGGGATCGAACCTCTCGACTGTCCTTGGATTGAAGGGAATGCAGACCTTTCCAGTCTTTGGGTGAACACAGAATGGAGACTTCAGAAGATGGTTCATACCTTTGGTGACGTTTATGTCGAGCCTTGGGTAGCAATACTGGATCATTATTTCCTCTATGAGGTGACGATGTTGCCTCCATTTTTTATTCTGCAAATGAAATGACTTCAGTCCCAATTCCAATGAATTTTAATTAATTTGGGTCTACTTTTTAATAATCTAAATTTATATGTATTCTTTAACGGTCAGAAATCAATTGCTATTTAATGAATTATTTGATGAATTAATTTCTGTTCATAAAAAATTTATAAAATTTTAATTCTGCACTAACCGATTGTACTTGTTCCTTAACGTAATTCTCGAAGACCTCCCATCGATCCACTCCCTTCTCGTACTTATCAAAAAGCTCCTTAACATCGGCCTTCACAGAATCGTCAGGCAGAATCCCCAAGAACTTCTGCACCCTCTCCACACTCCCCAGCATGTCCTGCTCCTCGACACACATCGACACGAATCTGGGAGTGATGATGTCCAGTGCACGTTTAACAGAAGGATGGATCCTGTCCCCAGGGAGATTGACCTTCTTCTTGGTGTACTCACCCCCAGAGATGAGCTGGAGGTACTCAGCCACTGCCCCTCGTGCAGCTGTGTCCAGGGTTCGAGCGATGGGGTCACACACCCACGCGTGGATTCCTCGTCTTCCCGAGAAGACCCAGAGGATGTGGTTGAAACCAAAGTCCTCTGCAAGAAAAAAAAATCAATGAATGTAGTCAACAATTTTAAAAATCGAGGGGAAAATTATTAATCAAGGGGAAATTATTGAGTCCACCTTTGAGTGCAGTGTCCAGGATTTTGCAAGCAATATCCATGTACTTCCAGCATTTATTACAGATGTCTGCACCTGAGCAACAGGTTCTGACCTCATCGTAATCAGTCATATCGATGTCAAAGACAAGTTCACGTTGTACTGGAACGAGATTAACAACTCTTCTCTCCTGTCTTGGGCTGAAATCAATTGCATAAAGAGAAAAAATGGCGTAAATGGGGAAAAAAATTGAAGATGAAGCTCACCAAACGCTGTAAATAGCCCCAATATCAATTTTGAATGGCAAAATCCTCTTGATTTCATTCTCAAACTGCTTCAGATTAGTGAAAGCTTGATAACGAATGTAAACGTCTTCCCCCAGGGTGAAAGAGAACTCTCGATTGTGAAAATTCTCCCCTGGGAATTATCAACATTACTAATTAGTAAAAAATCACAATGAAAATTAGTGTTGTTTACCTTTTCCGTAGCTCAGCCACCGATAGTAATCGTTAAAAGGGAACAATCGAGAGTAGTAAACTGGCAACAGATCCCCCAGATTCCCCATTGTTATCTCCAACTAATTATCGCGCCAACAATTAAATGATTATGATAATCCGGGTGAGAATTCAAACGTAATAATGAAGAATAACAAAAAGGGAGTTATTTCGGCGGGATGGCAGCCTTTATTAATCGTAAAATCACTCGTTTGGTGGTGTTAGTGCTCCACGTGTGTCCCTAACCTCAAATGTCGGTTCATCGTGGCTTTAGGTGATCCATCGTTATATTATTGTTCATTTCATAATGCCAGCCCAGAAGAAAAACAATGTGTTGACTTATGAAGGGTGTAATTACCTCAAGTATCGCTTACTGCTGTCAACATTGTCAGGAAAACCAGTGAGGATTGAGGACATCAGAACGAACCACGATGATCCTGGGTTGAAAGGTGAGACACTGTTTACTTCAGGGGAGGGTGAGCCCAAACGACCTTTTTTATATCATGAATATTTCCCAAACAAATGATGCTATTCGGAAAAATCAACTCTCATTTTGAAGACATCAAAAAATTCTTCAAAGTGAAAAAAAAATTGTTGAATTTTACTCAGCCCTTTTCGAGTTATTGAGGATTGAATACTGTTGATTTTATCAGGAGCTTTTGGGGCAAAAGGACACTTTTGAGTTTTTTAAAAACGTCAACAGCTCATGGAATTTTTAACGAAAGGGGATACTTTATGCTGAGCCCAGACTTCAATTGATAGGGGACGTTGGGGTAAAATGGACACTTTATCCTTATTTTCAAATCCTAATGACTTATTGAATTGTTAATGAAATTGTATCATTTTTTTTTCAATAAAAAGGGCAATTGTTCCCCCTTGTGGTGAGCCTAGACTGAGCTCAATTGAAAATTACGTTTATGAGTTGCGAATATTTTTATAAAAGTGAAAAGTGTTCGTTTTACCCCACCTCTCTCATTTTTATTTTTGTTGGATTTTTTATGTGAATAAAAGCTAACGAATAGAATTTATTCTTTATCCGCCCCCTCCCCGGCATTTATTTATAATCCAGAAATTTATTTTCAGAGTACGAAGTCAATTTGATAAGACTCCTGGACAGATTGACGAATGGAACTCGCGTAGAATTGAACGAGACAGGAACAAGTCTGTTTTACTCCCCGGGGCTGCTGGTTGGTGGAGAGCTGGAGCATGACTGCAGTTTGCAGAGGGGAATTGGGTATTATCTGGAGGCTGTCATGGCCCTGGCTCCATTCTGCAAGAAGCCTGTGGATATCAAGCTCAGGGGGATCACTAATAACACCCTGGACCCCTCGGTGGACAGGATCAAAACTACTGGACTGTCTGTGCTCAAGAGATTTGTTATTGGAGAACAGGATATCGAGTTGATTATCAAGAAGAGGGGGGCTGCACCACTGGGAGGTGGTGAGGTGCTGTTCAAGTGTCCCATTAAACAGAGTTTGAAGACTGTGCAGGTATAATTCTTTTTAAAATAAATTCATCATTTTTTAAAAAGATAATTTCTACATTCTTAATTTTTTGAATACTTTTTAATAAATGCCTTCGAATAAAAAAAATTAGTGCGATTTTCAATTACAATTATAGCTTGCAATTACAAGTGGGCATTGAATTTAGAATTCAATTTCTAATTCAGTAGCGAAGCGGTAAACCGAGTTAAGTCGATTTGGACTATTGGCCAGTTTTTGACGAATATCTGGGAATCTAAAAGAGATAGAAAATTTTTTGTAATGACCTTTTTTGTAGAGCCAACTGAGGGTTATAAAAAAGGTACTGAGCAAAATTTTGCTATCTCTCTTAGATTCCGAGATATTTGTCAAAAAATGGCCAAAAGTCAAAATCGACTTAACCCGGTTTACCGCTTCGCTACTGAATTAAAGGTATGGAAAATGTCTCTTGAGAAAAATTCCCTTCTCTTCTAGATTTCAAGGTAGTCCAGAGAAATTAGTTTACGAGGAAAATTAACTCATCACTAATTTTGGGGATTAATTACAGTTTCAGAACAGTGGAATGGTGAAGAGAATACGGGGTCTAGCCTGCAGTATACGAGTGTCACCAGCAATTGCGAATAGAATGGTTGAATCTGCTAAAGGAGTTCTCCTCAATTTTCTACCCGACATTTATATTCATACGGATCATTGTAGAGGAGGAACTGGTGGGAAATCACCAGGTGATTTTTTTTTCTAATTTATCTAGTAGTTTTTTCAAAATTATTGTCTACAAGAAATGAAAATTGAAATGAATGTTGGGAATTTGCAGGATTTGGCATCACAGTAACAGCTGAAACGACAAATGGAGTTTTCTTCAGTGGTGAGGCATTCTCGCCCCTGATGACTACTGGATCACTCCCCTGCGTTCCTGAGGACATTGGCAAAGAGGCAGCACACAAATTGTTGGACGAAATATACAGAAATGGATGCGTGGATTCTCCCTTCCAGAGCATGACTGCTCTATTCATGGCTCTGGGGAGAAAGGATGTCTCCAAAGTACTCGTTGGACCCCTCACACAAACGATGTAAATAAATATTCAATTTTCGTTAATTCTTTGATAGTCAATAGAGCAATTAGTTGATTAACTGTTAATTCTCATTGATTAATTGATGAAAAATTAATAAATTAATGAAAAACTCGTGGCTTCTTACGTAATTGTTGCAGGATTCAATTTTTAAGAGACCTCAAGGACTTTTTCGGAATAGTATTCAAGCTAGAACCCGCCAAGGACGAGGAAGACGATGAAATCCTCCTGGAACAAGTTCTATTGACTTGTGTGGGAATAGGATACACAAATCTCAGCAAAAAACACTTATAAACAATCCCGCAATTTATTTTGTAAATATTTCCTCTGTGTTTTTAGCAAATAAATTTATATATTTCCAAACAAGATAATCGTACGTTAATTTTCTTTTTACAACGAAAATTTTTGTAAATCCAGGGGTTTCGAAGGCCACGAATGGAAAATCGTCGACTTGTAGTGCTGCCACAAATCCTGATATTTCGCAGAATAGTTTTTAAAATCGTGATAAGTGATTTTCTTGGGGTGCAGTGGAATTTTCCCACATTCATGTTTATCAGCAATCCTCAAGAAGTTATTGAACAGTCCTCGTCTGGATATCAAGAGAAAATTCCCTCTCTTATTCTTAGTTGCACCCTGCTTCCTTCCTTCAACGGAAACCTCAACATTTCTCCCTGTCACATCGCACCAGATGACACTGGAGGGGCAGGGGTGTCCCCTGGCCCCAGATTTCTTACACGAAAAACCTCCAGACACCTGGACAATCCTCGGACCCTTAATTCCAGAATTAAAACGTCTGAATATGCCCCTCTCCATGCTCTCCAGCGAGAAGGGACACTCTCCCCCAATGACGACGGTCTGAATCCTGACGTTTGGGATTAAAAGCGAGAGCAGAGCCCCTTGCACCCCCAGAACATTCCACTTCGCCAGTTTATCGGAGCAGGAGAGGCTCAGGGTGGGATCTCCCCGCCCAGGTTTCGTCCTGAGAGGCCCTAAAACGTGATAATTCACCCCAGGAAGTTTTAAATCCTGCACCGAGTCCTCAACACATTTCGCTCCAGTCCTGAAGACATCAAAGACCATTCTGCCATTCTTCTTTGAATCAAAATCATCGTCGAGTTTAGGAATTTTAGGACGAGGGGACTCTTCTTCCTTGAAGATGATTGAGCAATCCCCACAGGGAGTCTGACTGCAGTAAAAATGAAAAGAAACATCTCCCCTGAACTCGATCCTCCACTCGTCATTCAGCACAAAAATATGATTCTTCTTTGATGAAAGCAATTCGTCGATCTGTTCGTAGAGGTATCGCAGGAGGGCACGTCGAGCCAGCACCTCAGCATGAGAATCACTCAATCTAGCCCCTGAGGCGTACGATTTGGTGCTTCGGAGGTCGTTGGCGCCCAGGCACTTGGTGCCAGTGGCCAGAGAGACTAGAGAACACTTGTCCCCTTTCTTGAGGACGAATCCTGCGAGAACTGTCCACTCGGAGTCGGTGGGCTTTCCTGTCTTCTTGAGGGCTTTGTATTTCTCGAGGCAGAGGGTTGATATCGTTTCTTCAAGCGGGGTCATCATCTTTTTTTTTATCTTGTTTTCTGGTGTTTTCTCATTCTTTTGGGTAATTAAACTACGTTGTCAGGGTTCCACGCGTATTTTCGTCGGGGTAGTGAGGATAATTGGGCCATTTGGGCAGCATGAATGGCGAAATCCAACTGGAAATTCTCACGAATGTGGTCTTTTTGCACTGCCTTTGGAATTACGCCTGGAAGAACAGTGAGAAAAGTTGGCACATTGTCCTGATGATGAATAATTTTAACAACTAATTCTGATAGTGCAATTCTAGAATTTTTTTTTATGGTAAACAGTGTCAAGAGTTATTTTCGTAAGACATTTCTCCATTAATCACTCCCCTGGGGGATAAATACAAAGACGAAAGCATGAATTTGAATCAAATTGAGATTATTTGAATCAAATACAGATTGCTAAAAATAAAAATCATGAAATTAAATTTTAAAAAACCTTTAATTAAATTTCAATGAAATTATTTCTGAATCAACAAATGTCTTGTTACCTATTCCCTGCTGCAGAGCCCACTTCAGCAGAAGCCTGGCTGGAGAGACGTTGAGTTCCCCAGCAATTCTAGAAACAGTTGGATCCTTCAAGAGTGAGGTATCAGTGCTGGTCCCCAAAGAGGAGTACGCCTGCACATGAATCCCCTCTTTATCGCAGAATTCTACTAGTTCTCGTTGAGGATAATGGGGATGCAACTCCACTTGGTTGACTGCAGGTCGAACGCCTTTACAGTCCTGCATCAACCTCTCGAGATGGCTGATGTTGTAATTGGAGACCCCGATCGTCCTCAGGAAGCCCTGAGACTTGAGGTCCACCAGTGCCTCCCAGGTCTTGGCCCTCAATTTAATGTTGTCGATGTCCCCCTCGGGGATTCCAGCGGCTCCAGGCCAGTGGATCAGGTACAGATCGATGTAGGAGAGATTGAGGGCCCTCAGGGACTTCTCCACAGCCTCGCGGATTCTCTTGGGGTCTCCGTTTTCACTTGGAGCTGTGGAAATAATCAATCGATTCGCAAATGCAGGGGTTTCATCTCTGAATCGTTGAGGCAAAACGGACTTTCTTGAATCGGCAATATCTCCTGAGCCAATGACGCGATTTGGACGAGTCAGAGCTTATTTTAAAGATTGGAAAAAGATCTTGAAACTGAAAAAAAATCGTCCAATTTCACTCTGCCACTCCCGAGATATGCACGATTAAAAAGTCGTTTTACATTTCTTCTGAAGTAAATTTCTGCTGCTTACATAGCTTCGTTGTTATGAAAATTTCTTCTCTCTCGATGTTGTATTTATCTAGGAGTGTCTTCAAGGCATAACCTATATCCTCTTCATTCCTGTACACAGCTGCGGTGTCTGTCGAATAATTTAGGGGGTGAAAATTGTAGAATGAGAATGATAGAGTTGTGGACTTATTTCAATGAAGAAATGACATACCTATCGACATGTACCCCACGTCCAGAGCTTCGTCGAGCACACTATAAATTTTCTCTCGTCCAGTGACTCTGAAGGTGCCGACTGGAAATATCACACCAGTTAAATCTCACTCATTGCACACAAAATCATTATTCGAGACGAGAATGAAATAGTGAAGATTTAGGGGTTTGCAGGTTGTGTTATTGTTTGGTTGTTGTTTCTGTCAACAATTGGCTTACTTCCAACAAGAGGCATGCTGAATCCTGTTGACAGGCGAACATACTGGGATGCAGCACTCATATTCACGTGAATGAAAAATTCCCAGAGGATTTCGAAGTGGTGGAGGAGCAATTAATTGGAGGATCTATCGGTGTGACGTGATCACTGACTCACTATTCTACTAATAAATGTTATTGAGGTAAAACTGAGGTGAAAACAAGTCTGACATCATCCAGGGACGGACATATGGCAGGTAAATAATTAATTCCAGGATGAACCGAATTCCAATCATTTGGGAATAATTTGGGATAGTTTAGGAAGGTCATTTTATAGTTTGAGAAGTAATAGTTTATTTATAATTGATTGAGGTTGGGGTAAAACGGACACGTGACTTTATTTTAAATTTTAATGAGGGGTTGAAATGTTGATAAAATTTAGTAACTTTGTTTTCAATACAAAGAACAATTCTTTCCCTTCGTGACGAGTCCAAACTGAGCTCAATTGATCAATTTGTTTCTGAGTTATGAATAATTTAAAATAAAGTCTAAAGTGTCTGTTTTACCCCACGCGCCCCTATGATTAAATCTTGGGAAGGCCAAATCGATTTAGAGTTTGGGCTCATTACAATGAGAAAAAGCTGTTATATTTCATGAACAAAAGGTTTCAATACTTTGGAAAAAGTCTAGTGTCCATTTTCGTCCCTCAACTCCTCTATTTTGAAGCAAATTGTATGATTTGATCAATTTTCAGATTACTCAGCCAGAAATAGTTATTGTAACAACAAAATGTCAAAGAATTCAGTGGCACTTCTGGATAATCCTTTAATAAAAAATCCAGTGTAACGTTTTTTGAAGCCAATCTATTCGGCGTATTGTGTGTCATTAGGTTTTTTATAAACGATGATAACAGGAAAAAAGGGAATAAGGAAAAAAACTCATTCTACACATAAATTTTCATTCATCCAATTTATTTAATCTATACATGTTGATGAAAATTCAACAGTAGGAGTATTAAAAATATGTCTCTATTGCTCTTTCCGATGGACAAACATTTCTCAACAGTGTTTGTAAAGTTTTGGCATTCCACGATAAATTTCTCTATATAATACATCCTCCTCTAATGTTTAGTAAACAATTATACAATTTGTCGAAGCAGTCGGTGCACAAAAATGTTTTTCCCTATAATTTTCTGATAATTTACCTGAAACCGCTCACCAAAGTCCCTCAAAATCATCCCTAGTCAATTAATTTTCTCTCTGCGAAAAAGAAAATTCATTCAGTTTGGCGTAAATAAAGCTTCTCAGACGGTCGATTCAAATGATTTCGTTTGCTTCAGTAAAATGTTATTAGAATTTAATTTTCATTTATCAATCATTACGTAACGCGACTATCGTCGATGTTAATTAATATTTAACTCACCATAATAGATCTATGCAAATAATTATCTTTATATATTCATTTTCATTAACGATCCCGAAATGAATTCATCGATAATACAAAGTACCATCTAATCAGATCTTTGAAAAGATTGAACAGAAGTTAACTATCAAAAATCATCGAACATTTTACAATAGATTGCCATCTATCCTGCGATACACAGGTGTCTATGCCCGTGAAATAAAAATGAGACATTTAATATTAATAATAATGAATAAATTTCAAGTAAATAGAATCTCAAGAGTACGTAATATCTACATAAAATCAATGCTGTCCCATCTAACTCGACAATAATCCATCAACAATTCCTCAGAAATGAAAAATCCCCAGCAGAATCACATCCTGCAGTGAGAGAAAATCATTCAATCTTATTCACCAGCATTAATTTTAATTTGACACTAACAACTTTCCTCGTACATCGATAATGGTATCTATTAAATCATCAACATTTACGTCATAATAAAATAAACTTGACATTACTATTCTCATATATATTCGTCATAAACTTAAGTAGATTGCAGATCACTCATGATACTAGTAATGCTCGCAATTATTCTGTGGAGCATTTTATATACAACGAAAGACGAGCTACCATTGATTATTAATGGTCGAAATGTTGATATGAGAAGATCGTGATTAATGAACAAAATGGACAAGTAATAATTTTGTTCCCAAATGTGCGCGTAATTTCACAGGTAGCACTAAAAAGTCCTTAAATTTAAATATATGGCAGATCTAAACATAAACGAAATGGTATATATAATTCATTTTTTTTGTTGTTTTCGTTATTTTTGCTTGTTATAATGTTAATTCGACATTAAGTAAATTCAATCTCTCACACAATCACTCCTGCAACTCATTGAAATCATAATTACATACAATTTATGTATAACTTACAATAATAATTCTCGAAAAATTATCTGAAAAAAAAAACTATAAGTGATAACAATCGATAGATCCTGTTGACAAACGTTGCATAGCCTCGGCGGAAAAATTGTGATGATAACTTGTTTGTTCATTACAATACAACAAAACATAATTCAACTCTCTCCAGTTGATTATTAATTTTCACATTTTATTTTTCATTTCAATTGAATTTCTCGTCTACGATATAATCATATGAAAAATAATCATGGAAAACAATAATAACAAGGTAATAATAACGCTCAACGATCGAGAAAAATTCGGAATATCGAAGAGCACTGAAAATGTATTGCACGTATTTGTTAAATCTTTCTTCAGCTTGGCATAATCCACTCTCAAAATTCACCATAAAATCTAATTTCAAATTTAATCATACATATTTGTGCGTGTAATGTCTAATTATGCGGCAACAAAAAAAAGTTCATTCAGAAAAAAAAAATGCAATCGAAAAACTCGGATATTCAGTTGCCCTTTGCGAAGTAGAAGTTGACAAAAAACGAAACCCCACCTAATTAACACGCCCGATCACCTTGAAGATACTTGCTTACCCACTCGGGACGATGACACAAATCTTCTCCGAAATATCTCGTGAGAAAGAATGATAAATTCTTGCACTTCATCTACGGGTGGAATTTGCAGATGAAATTTTACATTCTCTTGCTGCCACATCAGTAGTAAGTACTGTAGTAAGAAACACTTTACGTCGCGATAATTATTGGCACATGTTGAGGAAAAATTATGCAGCTAATATGTGGAAATTTGAGTGTTTAAGAGGTAATTGTGAAGCGAAATGTAACTTAACGACGATAATTTGACGATTCGTTCAGTAAAAAAAGATGAAATCTCTCTTTTTTCAGTAATTTTTCCTCAACTTTAATTTTTCTGTGAAAATACTTGAACGATAAATTCTACTGATGTGCGTATAAACGTAAAACTGTTAAGTGTACAATTCCTCGTGGCCCACGTACAGCCACACTGTGATTAATTTTCATTGATGGGAATACAGAGGATGGATAAACTTGAGAGACGTAGATAGGGCTGGTGACGCGTGTACAGCGAAGGCTCTCGTCTCGGCGTTGGCGAATATCGTTCAAATTCATACACGCGGTTGGCTGATAATCCAGAGTTTCCAGGTGTTAGCACGGGGCGAGTGGATTCCATTGTTAGCACTCCAAGCCTACATGGCCATGGACAACCAGGGTTAACAAGAAAGATAAAAAAAAAGAAAAAAAAGTATTGTTAGTAATTTGATTATGATTTATCTTTAATAATTTGAATATTAAAATTATTGCCACTTGAATCTGTTCCTCTAGTCGCTTGTCAGCTTGACAAATCGAGTAAATGTCGAGCAGTGCTTTCGATCCTGATAATTATAAACGAAAAAAATTTAATGACAAATAGCACGATCTAATGGACAAAAAGCAGTGCTTCAACACTTGGTCAATTTTAATATTTTAATTATTAGTGAGAAGCAGTTTATCTATTCTGTACACAAATGATCACGTAGAAAACGAAGAATTACTTTTCTTTACATCATCGTAAATATAAAAAAACGTGAAAAAATGTAGATGAAAAAATTGCGTTAAATACTGTTTAACGACAGATTACACAATTGAGATTTTATTATGGCTCGTGTACCCTCCCCGCGCATAGGACAGGCAAAGAGACTGGAGAAATATTAATTCAATGATTTAAAAAAAAAAAAAATGTCATTCCTGATGTATTAGAATTGAATTACAAAAAGAGAGAATAGTCTATATGAGCTGCATCCAGCCCACATTGGATGCATGTGTGCGAGATCATTGATTTAATTCATTTCACAATTATTGTGCAATAATCGAAATGTTAAATTAGTTATTGCTAGTTTGCGAGATTTTGTCAAAAATTCAAGTCACGTCGAATTATTCCACCGATTTTAGAGGCAGTTTGAGGGGGGGAGGGAGGGGTGTGCACCTGCCACCAGATAAATAGCAGTGCTGAGTGACAAATTTCATGAACAAATTTTTTTTTTTAATGGACCAAAAAGGTTTATTTTTTTAAATGAAAAACATTAAAGACCTGATGCACAGTTGCATTATCTCTTCAACTTTGTTCCTTCGTATTAATTAATCCGATAAAGTTATTAATTAAAAATGTCCCATCAGCAAGCGGGTGTCAGAGGCTCATGAGTTATACGGCAACGTGCCATGTATAGGACAGATTTATCATACAGTTCCAGGCATTTAAAGCGTCAATAAAATTATTCGATAAAAATTTTTTTTCCTTGTATTTAATCTCATTACAATGATTAATCGAACAGTATTAAATAAATTAAACTGAGAAAAAAAAAGTGTATAAACGTTAGTGTCAACTTGGCCATGTGGAGCATTTTTGTTAGTTGAATATTATTTATATAAAAAGATGGTGCTATCTTTGTGCAGAGACCATAATGGTGATAAATGGATGAATATTGCGTCTATGATTAAATAAATTAAGGATTGTCACTTGATATTTGTATTGATTATAAAAAATTAAAGTTAAAAAAATTATTTGTTAGTGGTAATACGTGAAAATAAAGAGGGTGGGACGCCAGCTTTGAGCAGCACTTATTTGGCCGCGTGTTTTCTTCGCCTATAGATAACATATCATGGTCAATCAAACGTTCATTCATTGTTTAATCGTCTACAATCAGAGCTGAAAATGCAATTCAATTAATTATCTTGATTTTTCGTAATAAATTCAGGAAATAATTCCTTGAGAAGGATCACTGAACGATTAATCAACGAAAACGATCGTTTGAAATTCATCAAATAAATGTGAAAACCTTCGCGTCGCATCACGTTACCACCCCTGCAATAATTTTAAAACTCCACAAGAACATAAAAAAATAATTTTTTTTCATAATATTTATTTGTTTCTCTTCATTTATTCTTTCATATAAATATTTATGCAAATAATATAATAATAGTACGTATATAAATTTATATATACAGATTAAATGGAAGGTCAATAAGTTGTTCCACAGGCACAAGTTGCCAAAAAACATAAAATCATAATAAAAAAGAAACAAAATGCAAAAAAAATATGTACGATGTCCTGGAAGATTGAAATCTTAATCAATACATAAGCACCAAAAAAAAATAAACATTTTTTTTCTGCCTTTCATCAACACTGCCCCCTCCATACAACCAATTTGCATGATTTAGACAATCATAAATTCCCTGATAAATTATGTGATGATTTTTTCATTGTCTAATTGGGCAGCGCTTCTAATTGAAAATGTTGGGAGGTGCGCACCCATATTGGGGGTCACCACAACTTTCGATGAATCTAGAAATAATTTAGCCACGGTGGCACACAGAATAGAACAGAACCAATCAGAACGAAAAAAAAAAAAAAACAAAGCTAATCGAATGACCTCATCTCATACATCCTATCCTATCGATAAATAAAACAATTTCTTAGACCTAAGAGCGGGGAGTTGCGCCAGAAAAGTGCATTCTGATAAATTTCCACCAATTGTCCTTAAATTTGCGATTCCGCGATTACGCAAACACCAAGGATCCCATGGCACTGATCGTAATTCAATTTCAAGTTTACTATTTTCCACTGCTGTCTTTGCTTTTCCAATGTATGATTTTTATGGGAGGATAATAATGGACTGCTATGCACTAAGTTTTTTTTTGTGAAATGTAATACTGCTGGTGTGAAAGATGATTAAATTTTAAATTTCAATGGAAATTCAAGGGAATTCTAAACTTTGTAGCAACGGGAAGAAGAAAATTCCCTAATTTACATGATTTTTCTAATAAAATATGAATATTCGGTCCTAAATCACACGTTCACACGAATTTTTAGTGACGAAATTCCTTGAGATTTCAGTGAAACTTGATTTTAAAAAATTGGATAGAGTAAATCTGCAAAAGGATGAGTGAAATTCTCAAAAAAAAAATCCAGAACTATTAATCAAAACGTAAATATACACCTCTCTCAAATCGATCCCAAATAAACCCCAGATAACGAATAAATTTGCCAGATCAAAAGCCACGTTCAGGTACAAAAAATCAAAAAAATCCCCCAACTCAAAATAAAGAATCCATACATTGGCAAGCGAATCCAGTGGAATTTCAATGGTAAAAGTACTCAATAAAAAAGACAACATTGAAATTAAAAAAAAAAACAATAAATGTAAAATTCTTGTGATAAATAAAACTAACCTTTCCCGCATTAAGGCGCGACTCTGTTATCTCTGTATTCACGAGAGAGCGCCAGCCCTTTGATAAGGGTGCTCGCGAATCTGACCCAGGTGCCTACGCTGTTTCGCAGCGGCTGCTGCACCTGTTTTCCCAACATACAACACTGTGAGTACATTTTGACACGCATGAAAATATCCCTTTTTTCATCATAGCACAATTTCCAGGACTGCCTCCTACTCACAACTATTAAGATAAAACTTGTCATATTTCACTCACCTCTCCCCTCAAGAGAAGAAGTGGCAAATTACAATTAATTATTATGCACAAATGAACGACAGAGAAATTGTCTTGAGTATTCAACCGTAAAATATAGAGAGCATTATTTGCACTTCGAACGAATTTTCGGAGTATTTTATATCCCTCAACCTCTTTCTCTGCTGTTCAAAAAACAGTCCCTTCATCGCGCTCTCCACAAATGACAATTCATTGTATTTAATTCCCCTACGAAGTGGATTTTTCAAAAATATTATGCAAATGTAGATCGTAACAATACTTTAACGTTCCCATAAATGCCTAGTCGTTACAACCACAATTCTAAAGAAAATTGTCTGCGAATGTTCGTGGAGACGATGAAAGGACTCGCTAAACCTCATCGTCATGATATTAAACGTTAAACGATTAAATATTCTCTCGTTTTAATGGAGACATCTCACTCTGTGAGTTCTGAAGTTCATTAAAAGGAAAATCAGGTAATTCGTGATACTGAAAATTGAAGATAGAAATGTAACCAGCCATTTACACTCACTCAAAGCAAAGACATTCGAACAAAAAATACTCCTACTCTGTGCTCATACTCGAGTAAATAATGTATATAAATATATCTAAAAATGTATTTCACTCTCTCATCGCCTTGTCATTTTGTATAAAAAAATAAAAATTAAATAATCGTATAAAATAATATAAAATAATGTACATTCTCGTGATCTATATCATGTAATTCGAAGGCTTGATGCGTCAACAGCTGATTAAGCTCTTGTTTTTGTAAACCAGCAAATGCCTTCGATAACGCCTTAAACACCTACAAGAATACGCTAGAACCATCAGTCCTCTAATAACGCTTTTAGTTTGGTCCCTGGGGTACTTTTTTTTTTTTCATCGTATACACCTATTGTCTGCCTATTCGAGACCCTACGTATACAGCCTATCTATCACCGGCCGATCGTTTTTTCATTTACACTAGTGTTTCAACTGCACTCAATCGCACTAATAAAATCTAAATCAATGAATTCTCAAAAATAATCCGATAATGCAATATTTCAGCTGAAAATTCCGGAAAAAAAAATTGTAAAAATTCCCGAAAGGACAATTTTTACCAGAAATTTCTCTTCGGCTGCGATTTTTTAAAATAAAAAAAAAAAATTACGGGCGATTTTGGTAATCTGCAATGTCTGTGTTACATAAAACAAAAAAAAAACAGTTCAAAGCGAAAAAACCACGCGAGGGTGAGAGCGAGAGAGTAACGTGGGAAAGGCGGACCGATCGAGTTAGTCGAGTGTTCACAAAAAATTTTAGTTTCACGTGTTAGACCAAACCCTAGGGAGATTCTCACTCGAGATTCTAGTTTATTACGTTGTAGTTGTTACTTTGACAGTTGCGTCGAGAAGAATAACAAAAAACATGACTAAAGTATTTCAATAAATTGCCAAAAGATACCTAAGAAAATCATAAACCATCACCGGGATAAATAAAATAACGCTAAAAATTAATAATTAAAAAAAGGGAGGGGGTTGGCGGATCGGACCATGTGAAAGCGCAGAGGCGAATTCATTAGACAATTTAAACTGCTGTAAAAATAAGGCTTTAAAATAAAGAGCTATTACTCTAATACTCCCTAAAGTACTAAAACCTCAATAAATATGATATATAATCTTCAATACACATAAAATAAACTTCTGATAGTTTTTCATTCTGCTCTAAAACAAGAGAAAATACTAACAACTAAAAACAATTAATGGCCTTTGATTGTTGCATTGAGTAATGCACGAATGTGCCACATGACTGGACGCCCCGCGCTCGGCCTATTCAGACATAAGTGTGCGAGGATCCGTTAGAAGTAGTACATATATATATCCGTTTGGTATGTTAAAACAACTTCACTTACAGTTATCGTACGTAAACGCAATAAGAAAGCGTTTTGTTTTTAAACGTATAGTATTCAACTTCACAACTTGTGTTGATATTCTTAACGGGATGGGAATACTTTTCGCATTAGTGGTGCCTCTAGCCACTGAAGGACGGCGTCAACATCTCATATCGAGACAATGGGGGAAGATGGGATAAAATGGACACTTCAGGCATTTTTTTTCAACGTTCATGTTTTTTTTTTTCAATATTTCATCAACAACTCTCGAAATTGCAATGTCGAAAAAATCCAAAAGTGCCCATTCTACCCGACCCCCGCGCTTACGGATCTTCTAAGCTACTAAAGTACATCTCAACGATAAAACGAGTGGATGCATAAGATTTAAATAATCATCTCCACCTTCAGCCCTGAAAAATCCATTTAGGATATTTAAATGTGTTGTTCAATATTTCTGGACTAGTATTCATTCTACATCCTCGCAGGAATCGCATCGTCCTGTCTTGCGAACACCTGGGTGAAATTATGTGCACTATTACCGATAATTAATAGAAAATAAAACAATAACCACCTATGAATCTTCTTGAGAATTCGGTAAAAAAAAAATCTCTAAAAAACAAACAATTACGACGCGACTAGTAAATGACTGATTTAAACTATTTTTTGTTCTTCCTTTTCGAGTTGAATTCTATAGGCCCTATCGTTGAATAAGACGATAATATCATTCTCTCCTAAATCTATGTAATGGACACTCTGCTCGTCACGTTCAATCCTCAAGTCTCGAATAAAAAAAAAATCATCTCGTGGGGAATTGAACGTCCAGCAAACAGAGTGTCAAGTATTTATCGTGAACCTGATGATTCAAATAGAAATAATGTTGTAATTAATGATAAGTGAGAGCTCTGTCTCGTGCATCTAGCGTCAGCGAGCAAATAACCCACCAGAATGGTCAGCGTACTCGGTGAGTAGTGGTGATGCTGCGAGTGCTGCGTAGTTGGCGTAGTCGGCGTATGGCGTGTAGATGAGACCGTGTGGATCGCCGGCTGATAGCAGTGAGCCCGGTGGACCTGAGCCATTCAGCAGGGAGGCTGCTGTTGTTGGAACTGATATCCTTGGTGAGAGAATCAGGGGTGCACCCAGGGGTGCATTTTGCGTTCTCATCTGTGTACCGAGACCTGGAAGGAGACGCTGGGTTTCGGCAGCAGCTGCTGCCACACGCCTCCATTCCTCATCGCAGGCTGCAATGTCGAAGGCTACGATCATTCGTCAGATTTTTGTTCTTTTAGGGGTGAGGGGGGATGGATTTAAAGCTAAGAGGGCTCAGGGAGAGGGATTGACGATTCTGATATTCCGGGATTTAATCAATATCGAGGAGATTCAAGTATTTTTATTTATTTTTTCTTTTCGAATTTCTCCCAATTTTTGTAATTAAAAATCAGAGGTAGGGAATGTTTTGCGATTTTTTTATCACTGAAAGTTTCGATTTATGAATAATAAATTTTACAATTACAAACCTATTTTTCATCAAACGCAACTAATTTGTCAACATTCTGAATAATTCCCATAATTTATTTATGAGAATGGAATTGTTGAAAGAAGAAGTTAATTGTTGATGATTCTGATATTCCGGGATTCAATCAATATCGAGGAGATTCAAGTGTTTTTATTTATTTTTTCTTTTCAAATTTCTACCAATTTTTGTAATTAAAAATCAGAGTTAGGGAATGTTTTGCAATTATTTTATCATTGAAACTCTGGATTTATGAATGATAAATTTTCCAATTAAAAAATTATGTCACCAAACGCAACTAATTTGTCAAGATTCAGAATAATTCCCATAATTTATTTACGAGAATGGAATTGTTAAAGAAGTTAATTGCCCGCAAAATATGCCCAAATACTTGTATATCCATAATTATTGATTACTAACGATTTCCTAGTTGATTTCAACGTATTGTGGAATAATTTTGAAAAGTTTCTGCAACTACAAAAAAACAGAAATAAAAATTTCAGTAAAATTTCGTCTCAACTTGACGAATGCCATTTCACCGCACGACCTGTTCCACTTGGACACCCAATCCCCCTGCCTATTAATACCCAAGAATATGAGCAAGTGCAATTAAATCCCAAAAACTAGATTATGAAAATGATTTTAATGTCCCAGGGTTTCACATTTCTCCCATAAATCACCCCGTGATCCCCAGATTTAGTTGACACTATTTTGGCAGCTATAAATTCCGGTGAAAATCAAACCCAAAGAGTGCATTGAATGGGCCTGTGACCTGGCACAAGCTCCACTCAAAGTGTCAATGACTAACGTTCGAAAATTAACGCATATAAGTGGCTTTACTAGGCGGAAGTTTTGGCAATGGGTCAAGGCGTCGTGCTGCTGTTAATGAACCGACCCGAGAATTGTTAAAAAACCCCCCTGTCAAAACCAAAATAACACGCGTAGTAGAATCGAACACTTGATTGACTTGTTTTTCGTTATTTATCTCTACAACATTGTCTCCCCGTTTTTTTCGTAATTTACGAGAGACATGTAATTTTCATCGGCACAAGCCTCAACACCTGCGGCGAGTTCCCATGCGATAAGCAACATCTTCATAGAAAATCACTATTGTTCTTGAGCGAGGAAAATCCTCATGTGTATTTTAACCGGCGGCTAGACCCGAGACACTTTATTCCTCTTTCCCATGGGTAAGTCTGCCTCGAATCACGAGACCCCTTATCGTCTCTCTAATCGCATTAACAAGCCTTACTCGATTTTAAAGCGCGAAGTGAAAGGCAATATCGACTCCCTCACGCTGTTGGAAAAAATTTGAATTTTCGGGGACAGTTGACTCGTAATTTTCAGGAGAGTGACATTTAATTGGATTTAGGGGGAGAAAAATGGGAAAATTTGGAATTTTTCTCGGGCAATTCAATGGAATTAATAATTTTGGAGTGACAGGATGACTAGAATTCCCCAATTTACTTGGATTTTCCTGATTTTTGTAAATTTTTATGGAATAATTTAACTGAAATTTACACTTTCCATTGATTTTTCCGTACTATTTAACATTTTCAATGACGAAATCCCTTGATGTTTCACAATATGTAGGGAATTTCATATTAAATGCAATAGTTTTTAATTTAAATCTCTAAAATTTATGTTTCTCGGGGCATGAACGTTTAGAGATCTTCAGTTACCCTAATTAATTTTCAATATCTTGTTATTCGCCCGAATTTTGCTGATTTTAATTCATTTTCATGAAATAATTCACCTAAAATTTGGCATTTCCACTGATTTTTCCATAAAACATTGATTTTTTCAATGACAAAATCTCGTGAAATTCCCGTGAAATGACAATACGATAAAACTTTTCAAAAAGTGTACCGGAAATTCCATTAATTTTTTTTTAACACTGCATTGTCAATGCTCTTAGGAAGAGGATTTCCCCTGACAAATTATCATGTATACCTATCACAATGGGGTAATAATTCACAGATGAAAAATTTACCTGCTGCGGCGGCAACTTTAGTGTTGGAGTCTCTGTAAGTTCCGTTGATAATGGCAAGCTCCATGAGCTGCCTCTTCTTCAGCTCGTCCTCACCATCAGCCTGCTAACAATCGACATCAACGTCAGTATCCAATAGACAAAAAATCCTCGAATATACATCGCTCGAGGAAATGAATAAACATGAGCATTGTTATACAATGTCTTTGACATTCAGTGCTTCGTTATTTAACTTGATCGTTAAATTCATTGCTATTACTCTTGAACGCGTAAGAACTGAATATTGATGTAAAATAAATACAGAGACGGTCGATTACTGCTCGTAAGATTTTTATCGGAAGTACTTGTGACGAATATTTGCCAAAGACCCACGAGATATGAGCGGTGTGCAAACACTTGTCGTGAACATATTTTTTTGGGGGAGTTGTGGCAGCGGAGAAACAGAATAAGTTGACAATTTTTAATGAATATCTCTGAATTAATTGGATGAAGATAAATCTTCCAAAAATTAAAGCGAGTTTGACTTTTTCCTTATAAACCTGGAGCTAAAGAAGAAATAAAATGACAGATTTCACTGAAATTTTTACATCTGGAGTGGAATAAAATTAATTTATGCTGTTCTATCGCTTCATAATTATAGAGTTTAAGAAAATTTTAGGGATATCCAAGTACCTTTGACAGTTACTTACGCCGACATCATACATTTAAAAATTTCTAATTATCAAATGTATCAATTAAATTGTATTCTGCATAATATGAAGTCTTTCTTTGCACATTTCCTCCTTATAAATTAATAACGGAGTGTAATTTCGAAGAATGAAAATGAAGAAATGAAGAAATAAATGAACAAATGTTTATAGGGTGACAAATTAATTGTTTAGTTTCACAATGTCATTTTTGAAGTTCCTCCGAGCATTTGAAAATGACGAAAAATAGGAAAAAACTGTCAAAGTACTTGAATATCCTAAAAAAAAAGTTGGAACTGTCTCACCACGGGCACAAGAAGTTTCTTGACTTCCTCGACGGCACGAGCGAGCTTCAGTGTGGCGCGATTCTCAGTGTCCTCAACTGTGAGTAGAACATGAAGTTCATCTGTGAGATGCTCCCAATTTGGTTTTCCCCGGTTCTGCTCCTCCTGTTGAGCCAACAAAAGAACAGTAAATCCCCAAGGTCCACTTGCACTAGTGCCTCAAAACCTCAGTCCATAATTTTCAAATTACAAAAAAAAATTAATTATACAGTACAGCCCATTCACGACTCAACACAAGAGCATTACATAACGCTGAATAAATCCTCGAGTTATGGTACATTTTATTCATGCCTAGCAGCACTTACTCAATAAACCAAAACGTGAGAAAAACCGCGACCAAAGGAAAATGACAAATGAGAGTAATGTATCACATTAATACACTGGTAATGGCATTATGTACTTACAAGAGCTTTCACACGATTGCCAAGCGCAGCTTGAAAACAATGATTCATATTTAATGCATAGTTATTCACTTCATTATCTCCTGAATGAAGTAAAAGTGTCGGGCATCCTCGACAATAGAGGAGTCCTCGGATACCATAGAAAGTAAGTGAACGACAGAATGATGAATATTTAGAAGCGAAACGAGAGGAATAACAGGGAATTCTCTCGCGTGCCTATTGAGTGATAAACGAGATGCTATCCATAGTTTTTACAAAACGAAATCAAGTACCGCTGAGCTCAAGCGTAATTTAAACAGACAGTTTAACGTGACAAATTAAATTGCAGAAGCTATCGAGAGACGAAATGAAAAATAATAAAATGAACTACTGAGCATTTGCATAATTTCATTCATTAAAAATTCCGATTAAAAAAAAATATCAGAAATTCTGTCGATGAAAAATGACAATATACCTCTAGACCTCAACCGTAATTTAATTGAAGAATTAAATATGACCAATTAAATTGCAGAAGCTATCAAGAGACGAAATGAAAAATAATAAAATGAACTACTGAGCATTTGCATAATTTCATTCATTAAAAATTCCGATTAAAAAAAAATATCAGAAATTCTGTCGATGAAAAATGACAATATACCTCTAGACCTTAACTGTAATTTAATTGAAGAATTAAATATGACCAATTAAATTGCAGAAGCTATCAAGAGACGAAATGAAAAATAATAAAATGAACTACTGAGCATTTGCATAATTTCATTCATTAAAAATTCCGATTAAAAAAAATATCAAAAATTCTGTTGATGAAAAATGACAATATACCTCTAGACCTCAACCGTAATTTAATTGAAGAATTAAATATGACAAATTAAATTGCTGAAGCTATCGTGAGACGAAATGAAAAATAATAAAATGAACTACTGAGCATTTGCATAATTTCATTCATTAAAAATTCCGATTAAAAAAAAATATCAGAAATTCTGTTGATGAGAAATGACAATATACCTCTAGACCTCAACCGTAATTTAATTGAAGAATTAAATATGACGAATGAAATAGCAGAAGCGATCGAGAGACGAATTAAAAAATAATAAGGTGAATAATTCACTCAGCACGATGGAAACTTATTTGAGAAACAAAAAATGAAATACCGAGCATTTGCAGAATTTTCCGCATTAAAAGATCTGATTAAAAAAATTAAAAAATGTCAGAAATTTCGTAGATGAAAAACGATAATATACCTCTGGAACTCAAACGTAATTTAATTGCAAAATTGATCACGACAAATTAAATTGCAGAAGCGATCGAGAGACGAATTAAAAAATAATAACGTGAATAAATCACTCAGCACGAAGGAAAATTATTTCATAATTAAAAAATTAAATTCCGAGCATTTGCAGAATTTCATTCATTAAAAATTCTGATTTAAAAAAAATGCCAGAAATTCTGTTGATGAGAAACGACAATACACCTCTAGACCTCAACCGTAATTTAATTGAAGAATTAAATATGACAAATGAAATAGCAGAAGCGATTGAGAGACGAATTGATAAATAATAACGTGAATAAATCAATCAGTCCGATGGAAAAGTACTGGAGCATTTCAAAAGCCACCCAGCGAGGTGACTCTCATGTACACGAAGAGTGCAGTGACCACAAGTTGAGTGTCGCCTCTCCATCTTCGTTTTATTCCCCCCCCCCCCCCTCAGCTTAACCGGTAACATTTTCCTACGACAGGTATGATGGGCTTCAACTTGGTATTGGTGGATGGATACAACAACGTGCAGGCTATATATTTTTTTTTTTCATTTTATTTCTCTTCAAACGAGTGTTAATCCAACTCCACCGGGGAGTTACGTTGGTTGCATGCCACGAGGCATTCACCAAGTGTTCACCTCGATTTTCAAGCCGAATATGGACATAAAATCACGAGATTCAAACGCACCAAACGTTCACTATAATTTTTTTATTCTGTATAAATGGCATTGCAGGTCTATGTTTAAATCTTTGGAGTGATCTCACGGCTCTGGGATAACTTATGGATTTGTCAATTACCTTCTTTTTATCCCTCATGGAGCCCTTGCCTCGCACCATTATTTTGCATCCTGTCTCTTGTTCTAGTTGCTTGGCTGTCATTCCACGTGGGCCCAAAATCCTCCCAACGAAGTTGAACTGAAACAATTCATTTTCATCACCATTAGTCAACATTAATTAATAAAATCCATCTTTTCACAGTATCACTTTGAGTGAAACGAAATACTGTACAAAAGTTCGAAGTTAGCTTTCGTGAAATATAAAAAAATTCGTTGTAATGAGTTGAATTGGGCTTATTCTATCAGATTGTACCATTTGGCTACTGCATTGAACGATAACACCCCGAGATTTACATCCAATCAAATTCTCGAGAGGTGGTCTCTACCGAAGATAAACATTATCGTAACCCACCAATCAATCCCTGATTCCCACACTGTTGCTTATCTCTCGAAGATCAAAAATAAAACACGAAGCGTCAGTCAAGTTTTCAAAGACTCCTGATTCAACATGCTATCGATAATTTTTACAGAACGAAATCAAGAGACGAATTGAAACATTTTAAACCTAACATTTTCTACATTTTTTCACAATGAGAATTTAATTGTTGAATAATTTATTCGGAATCGTCATTATCCTCTTCATCTTCTTCGTTTCTTTTTTTTTTTTTTACAGTACAGACCTGTGTTACATATTTTTACAGAACTATATTTTTTTTATTACAGTAAGAAATGAATTTCTCTTTGTTTACAATTACTGTAAATAAAATATTACAGTACATAAAAAAATATACATAGACATCATATTACATTACTTGATAAGCGGAATGAAGGCTTCAAAACTCGTTCCACTGGATTTTTCAAAAAATCAATTGAAATTTCCAAATAAATCGTTTAAAATTGAAAATTACGAGTATAGAATTTTCTCAAACAAGAAATCCGGAAAATAAATTAAAAATGTCTCGCGAAAATGAAAAAGAAACCATGAAGCACCACTCAAGCATTAAAAGACTCCTAAAATCCACTCACAATGGACACTTAAACTTTCCGCTCAGCACTTTACGATACCCACCTAAAAGGAAATCTCCAGTGTATTTTTTCCTATTAACTAATGCTAATGCATTGTTTGTGATTGCAATAATATTTAATGTGGCTCTTTGCGGCGACAAATACGTCAGTTTCCCACACAGTTTGGCGCTGAGGGAAGGGAAACGGAAGGGATGAGATGTATTTGTCTATGGACACGGGCCGGTGCGTAGGAAGATACGTAACTGCGTGCCGATTCAGGATGTGAAGTAAGACCAAGGCACTCACTACTGGGTGAGGGGCCGCGGCTTTGAAACAAGGAGCGCCCCGTCATTATAATAGGTGCCGCCAACTCCTCAGAGAAATCGACATCAACCATTTTCAGAATAAATCAAACGTGTCTTTACACATGGTAAAATACTTTACACTGGGGTTATTTATCTTTATTAGTTGGAGGGATTTTTCTCTCTATTGTGGAGGTATGGAGATACCTGGGTAATTGGTTTTCATGGGATGTGGTTGGTACATTCCAGCCAGACAAAACGTTGTAAAATAGATAATGCGGTAATTATGAAATGTTTCATGAATACCAAGTGATCTGGGAATTAATGAATGTTTAAAGTCATTTTTATTGGAAATTTGTCAGTTAAAGCGAGTCTTGATGGCATTTTGCTTGAAAGGAGAGTGACATGGAATGCAATTACTTGAAACTTCAATCAAAATATGAACATTTAGTGGCAAACTACACATAGATTTTCGGATTTTCACTAATTTTTCGGAAATAATTGATCTAAAATTCAAGTTTCCATTGATTTCTTCATCAAATTTTCCAGTGAAACCGTCTTTTTGTTGGAAATTCCCTCACCCACAACTACATCTTATGAAATTTTCCCCTAAAACCGCCCCTCCCTATCGAGAAACAACACGAAGAGAAATATTCAATAAAAATTACGCATCTTTTCCGTAATTCCGGAGCGAAATCAGTGATAGATATATCAATCAATCATAATTACCGTTAAATTGTGAAGCTGTCAAATTTAACATAAATCTTAAAATTTCGAAATATTCTATCAAACAATAATTT